TAACCATAGTTGGATGAATTTCAATCTTTATTTCTAACCAATGTCATCTGTTTGTTTCGTCATATTATAGTATGTTGGACTGACTTCACTTGGATGAAATCTTCATGAAACTTCATTTTTAAAGTGTTTTAATCTATTATTCTTTCTTTAGATTCAAGCTCATCCTCTTGGTTTAGCATATAATCCTTCTGGTAATTTACTGGCCAGTGGTTCATGGTCATCATCGAGTCCGGTTATATGGTCTACCATTCATAGGACTGGTTCATCTCATCGGTTGATGACTTCGATGAAAAGGCTACCAGGAATTCGAAGCTCACCAAAATCTATGATAACTGATGTTATTTGGATACCAAATCAGTATGTTTCTAATAGACGTGACAGTATAATAGCTGCTCAGTCAAATGGAACTATAATTGTATATAATTCATTATGAGAGAAATATTTGTAGATAGAATTTGTAAATACATATATATATATGCTCTGCAAATTGGTTTAATTGATCTCTTTCTTGGTAATCTGTAAATCAGACGGATAATACAACCATCAAATTGTAAGGTCGAATCTATCTTTACCTACTTTGATCCATGTGTCGAGATGATACTGTTCAGTCTCATTCATTAAGTACTTTTCTAGATGGACATTAGATCCGTTTCGTGAACTCAACTCACGGAAGTCGTCATATGTACACGATTGGATGTCGAATACAAGAAGTTGCTTCCTATGATTAATTTCCTTAAGTATACAATATATTATGAGGTGTAAGATAAGCATCTTCAGGTAACTATGATGTAGGCGTACTGTGGCAGTTGAATGTGGGTGGCGAAGTTTAAGCTTTAATTTAACTTGCTATTAAGATATAAACTATCAAGGTTCATCTACCTGTGATTTGTTCGTACCAAATGAAATAGATATAGGAGTGTGATTTTTAATCTGTAACGGAACTAAAACATCAATTAATGGCAACTACATTTTATCATGTGTTAGTGTTACTTTGACAAAATCATTATTGCATATCTTTCAGCTCCATATGAAATATGATTAATTGAACGTTCGATCTTACGGACCCTCGATGAGGTTACGAAATGATAATCTGAATTCATAATTGCAGAATTTAAAACTCGGCGAATTCAGTGATCATAATTTTCATATGCGATTCAATCTTGTATGAAGTCACTGAACTGGTTTGAAATGTTAGAACTTTAGTCTTCAATTATTATCTTGCGAATGGTACGAAGTGTGAATGGAAACATGTAGTGACACTCCTAGTTCAGAGTTTCAGGCTTCTTCATCCATCACAAGTTCAGCTGAAGGAAGAGATTTGTGCGTACGGTTAATTGCTTGACGTTTGTAAGTAACCCCACCCCCCAATGCACGTCAACTAGAAAATTAATGCAAACCAGTTGAGCTCTGGCCTATGAGTCGAAGGGCTTTTATATAGTACAGTTATGGCGGAACAGATGATATAGATCGAATTTCCACACGATTTGCGAGACTAGGAAGGTCAGTGAAATAGTTGCCTAAACAGGAGTTTTCAACCTTCCATGTCTGAAACAAATTAAGCTCATCGAATTTAGCTCCTTCAAAATAAAAAAAGGTATAGTGAGACTTTTACTACTTTAGCGGTTCATATCTGGACAGAAGACATCTTGTGTACTAATGAAGCGTGAGTGTGTAGAACTGGAAAGTAAGAACAAAAGAAGAGGTAAACCGACCACCCAGAAAGTACACAAAATGCACTTTCATTTCATGAGAATAGCAATAAATAACGGTCAGTAATCACTCAAGCCTCCCATTCGGAGATTCTAGAATGTAAAACTTGGAGCGAGTAGTGTGAAGTTTTCAAACCGTTGTACGGTGTTCTTACAAGGATCACCTCACCTACACAGGGCGATGTATCGATACTGTCTAGAAAGTATATTAAAAACCTATGTGATGGAAAATTAAATTATTCTGATCCTTCGCAGCCGCCTACGATAACAGCGAAGAACTAGTTTTAATGACAGGCTTCAGCCTATCATACAGAAATTTGTGGGAGGACCTGACTATCTTGACAAAAGTCAAGAACACAACATTTGTGAGAGAAAGCGCTGGGTATGAATGTGGTTAAGTGAGAGATTATCAATGCTGTGTGATTCCGATAACATGGTTTTAGGTATCACCGATTTTCACGACAAATACACACACAATCTGCATAGGTTTCGCTCTACAGATTCCATTTCATCCTGATCAATAAAAAATTTAAGTTGTCCATGAAGGACGTAAAAGCAAAGAGATGGGCTGATATATCTTGAATCAACCACTAGGCGGTTTCTAACATAAAAACTGAGGCTCAAGAAGCACTGTACAAACTAGCAGGCACCACTACAAGCTTTGAATAGAGTGTCTCCCTGAGATACCAACAAGCTCAATGAATTCAAAAGGGAATCATTTCGGTGGGGTTGAAGAAGCTAGAATTTCAACAATACACTTAGTGACAGGATTAAGGAAGCGGCAGTGCAAACAATAGGTTTTTGTTGATAGTCTGGAAACATTCAGGAGAAAGGAAACGGGAAGACAGCAACAGCTGAATATGAGCAGAATAAGCAAATACAAGTGTCGAGTATAGAGAAACACACAAAAAATGGCAGAACAGCATTTGAGGTCACAAGCGAGTTATGTCCGAGAAATGCAACACAACGGTAGAAGAAGCTACCACAGATGGAACTACCTGATAACTATAATATGAACCGAAAGCCTGGATAGAGATATGATGTATCAGGGAGAAAAGTCAAGTGCATAGAAGGTAAAGCGATTTGGGTTTGGTAGCTGTGGGATAGTTTGTCCAAACACACTTAAGATCTCGAATAAGCTAGTGCTGACAAGTCCACCAGATATTGGGGTTGTACATGCTGATATCCTTCTGGAGATCACCGTCTGAAAAATCGGAAGATTTAGTTTGACTGATAGGAAAACTAAGAATGGAAAGCAGAAAGATTAGACGTCATATAGGTTCAAGCACTGAAGTTAGAGACAGAAGTAACTGCAAAGACGTTGCATGTGTTCAAGTGCCAAGAACCCCAACAAGATGTCAAAGAACAAGGAAGTTTTGGTAACTATGAGGATTACAGTCACCACAATACGGTCACTAACAGATGGAATTATCACAAGTGTTACTGAAATGAACGAGAGACTCAGTATATTCCCGATTTTGTTATTTACAGACTGTATTTCGTAAATATAGCTTCTTTATTGAGGATCCCTATTGAACAATTAATTAATCGAATGAGACTCAACACAGTATGTCAACTTCCTTGAATATCAGAATGCATTAGACAGGACAGTTAGGATAAACCTTGTTTTAGACATTATAAACAGCTTGAAAATATCGCCTTCATAAGGAGCTCCTACAGTAACTGAATTAGAACAATATAATGGGAATCTTTAATAAGTGGATTGCAAAGTCGTGCAAAAAAGATAACTGACTACCCATTGAAGATCCATGCGGCTCAGGAGAAGTGAAAAATACATGTAGCAGGATTGTTTATATTTTAGACTAATAATTAGCAGAATCATCGAGAAATTACTTCGATTTAAAAACTCCATGAAACTCGATGAAACTAAGTTCAATAATTTCAACATCAACGTTTTAATAATTTTATGGTAATGGGCTGCAAGTTAGTCAGTCTCTGAAAAAGTACTGATTTTTATGAACAATTGTCAATTTTAGATACTGGAGACTCACTGGAAGTAGATTGTATACTGCTGTAAATCACACCAGCTGTCGGCGGAAGTTGAAACGATGTACAAAGCACGCTCTCTGGGTAAAATTGTGTTGCCTCAATAATAAAGTAAAGCATCAGAATTTTCTTTAGAAACTAGGAAAGACAACTCCACTTTAAGGCTTTTCAAATTCTTTAAAACCAGTATTGACAGTCCTGTTTCGCTAACTAAAAATTCACAAGGTATGTATGAGGAATTATCATCTCTTATTAGCAGTTAACAACATCCTCGTATAGGCAGTTTGTGTCCAGTAATCCCCAAAATTGATACTTCAGTGGGTCGTACCACAACGTTAGGACCTAACGATTTCTAGTTCTTGAATGAAATACTGGACTCTATACTGCCTGTGTCCACAATAAAGTCATGACTTGAACCAGGCGATGTATATAATCGCTTTTGAATATGAGCATTACCTTTCGAAATGGTAGACAAAGATAAATGATCATTAGGATCAGCTGAATTATTGGGATCTAAATTGCAAGATTTAGTACTACTTGAGGCAAAATGAATAGGAGCTTTGCATACTGCTTGAATGTGTCCTATCTTACCACATCTAAAACATTTAGCATTACGATATGCACATGAATAACGAGAATGAAGTTTTCCACATGATAAACATTTGCCAAACTTGGTCTCACCTTTGTGATTTCCTTTGCAGTTCTCTATTGAAACACCGTTCATATTTACGCGAGAATAGGAACCACTGTTAAACGAACACAATTTTGATTGACCCTGAGATTGTATTTCATCATGACAACTAATCTAAGTATTGGAAATCTTCATCGAGTTAGCATCAAGTTCATTCAACGCCTCGTAGTCAATGCATGCAGTTCTAAGATCTTGAAAGGAACAGTTCGACATTCTTAATAGCTCTCTTTCCAAACTAGGTATGTTAATTCCTGCGATTAATCGGTCTCTCAGCTGCACATGAAGTTGATCACCGAAATTACATTTGACAGCTTCTTTCTGCAATTCAAGAATGAATTCCCTGACCTTTTGGTCATTTTGACGAATCATCTTATGAAATTTCGCCCTTTCACAAAACTAGTGCACTTTACATGATTTAATAATAACTCCTTAAGCATTGCATAGGGAAGTGAGATAGGTTTTCCTGGATATGCCATTTTTTTAATAAGCTGTACGCTTCTTTTCCGATGAATGTCAGGAAATGAGCCACAATTTTATCATATTTAACATCTTTCTTGGTCATACTCCAGATTTCAAACCTTTCCAAATAATCCTCAAAAGCTTCAGAAGTAGAATGAATATTTAACTCTTCCATTACAAGCTCCATCGCGACGCCAGTATGATGATTAGAAGTATGTGAATCAAGAACTAAAGATATGCACAAACGAATGTATTGTATTTAGAATTCGAAATCAAGCATTCAACAACAACAACAAGTCACAAGTTCATTCAAACACCACATTTTGCCAAAACAAAGTTTTCAAAATGGTATCTATAGAAAGGGCCCACCTAAATTAACAAACATGTGAGAACATAACAGGGAGGCAAAAATAAGCGCATACTAGTAGCATTCAACATCGATCAACAACCCGTGGCGCAATACACCTAGATGGAATACACTACGCGAGCATAAAACCTGCAGAGGTAAGGGATAGGGAACCACCAAACTTGGATTATTTACAGACGAATGATCAGCTCCTGGTTGAGGATCTCCATGACCATACAGCAATACGAATTAGGAACCATAGCGCGGTCATCTTAAGCGAACTACTCAGGCGGCACAAAAATCAGAACTACTTTTGCTACACTAGAGTATGTTACACAATATGAGAGATCATCTTTGAAACGCACATAATCACAGGATCAGTGAAGGCCAGCAGTAGATGATCACCGGAAAACAGTGAGAGACATCCTCCATAATACTGTCCTAAATACTGAACCTCAGGTGCATTACACAACGGGAAAGAGGAGAACACGGGTTAAGTGAGGCACTGAGCTCATGGGAACAGGAGAGCCCGGAACATGTGGAAGATCGTTCTGAAGGGTTCATATAGTATTTCTTACTTGGAATTGAGAGGCAGATGCAGTGCCAATTTTCGAAGTCATAAGAGACACCTTCAAACGAAGCTAGTTACCAAAATACAGACGAACCCATGTTTAGATCCATGGAAAAAAGAAAACCTACAAACCGGGGTGTCTGTATTACCGAGGTTCCAATTGTTGAAGATCTTATCAACCTGGAGATAGCTGAGATCTTTGAGATCAACGTCACCGATCGATGAAGCCAAGTACCTATACATTCGGAGTAGTACTCAAATATAGTACTACATGATGGCCTATGTAATATTGCAAAAGCTTTCTACATAGATCTCCACCTTCTCCTAATTAAGAGGGCTGCGAAAATGGGCTTCATTGATCCTCTTCTATCTTTGCTCACGAACTATCTTGATACAGGGCATTGCGTACCAGGATAATTAGCGTCGATGAGTGCTGGTGAGTTTCAATATCAGGAATTTTACAAGGTGTCATCTTAAGTCCACCAATCTTCCTTATGTTCGCTATTGACCTGTCAGATAAAATTAACTTGGCTGCACTAATCTAGGCAGACAATGCAAAGATTTGGATGTCCTTAAGAAGCGAAAAGGATTCCACTGGAGTTCCTAAAGGACTATTGAGGAATGGGCAGTGAAAAAACGGGTTAAAAGTAAACCAGTCAAAATATCACCTTATGAACATTCTGCCCCACGTGACGCAAACAACTTATACCGTCAACGGAAGTTTACTACCCTGTGTATCCTCAAGCACAATCTCTGTTTAATAACCACTGAAAGCCTAGAAGCTAGAATTATTTTTAACGTTCTTTAGGACAAACGCACACCCACACCTTCAGGTTCACAACGTTGTAGTACCCCCTCCTTAAAGGAGACATAAATCTCCTGGATAGAGTTCAGAGACGCGCAAATAAAGGATTGATAGTGTTGAATAGCGAATCGCAAGAAGATAGACTCCAGTATTTAGAATTATTGTCAGACATGATCTGACGATGGCACATAACATATCAAGTTAACCGAATCATTCATACATGAGCTACTTACTTGAGCATCACGTCCTCGGAGTAATCCCCGATTAATTGCGTACGACAGAGAGGACACTCAGGTTCGTGCACACTTGTTCTATCAATTAGCTGTTGCGACTTGGAATGCTCTCCCAACCCAGGTGACCACAGCCTCCTCAGTTGGCACTTACTCACATGCGGATTATCATCTCCCACTTGAATCGGCTTTTCTTGATGCCTGTCATGAAACTTGATAATTGTCATTATTGTCGCTTCCTCAGCTCATAAACTAAATCCTTCTCACTTATTATTTCTGTTAGTCTTCCATCGTTTAAACTTCGGTCCTCTCGCATAATCTTCACTAATGAACTGATTTATCCATATAATTACTTAGTTCTGAAATCTTCTTCTTGTAAGCACTAGAATTTTCTCCTTATTATTCTCCACACTGCAACTAACTGATCTCCAGCCCGGTAATGTGATAGCTGTTCGTATCCAGAAACCCTATTGCCCTAAACCAAACGCTGTAAAACGTGTAATCAGCAGTCACTGACGGGCGGAGAAGACCTAAAAACTACAACACCCAATGTTAACCAAGAACTCCACCCCCAAAAGTGGACATGGTGTGGTAGCCACGGGTCCCTTATTTGAAATTTAGAATTCGCGGGCTATGTACACTAAGAATGGCTTACTTAAAAAATAGTCTTATGAGTCATCTTGCAAGTTCAGTGTTCTCAGGGCTTACTCTTCTCCTTCCAAAATGTTTATTCTTGGCAGCCCAGCAATAAAAAGAAAACAGAACCTATTTACGACGTCAGACATAGTGAATTCAACACTGTTACGACGCAATAATTCAGTTCACTCATAAAGAAATCTGTTGTTCTATCGTAACTCGTGAAAAGTACATTGGATATTGGACTTTTAATGCGTGAGTCATCAAATGAAATCCAAATATGGACCTATTATATTGTCACCGTGAAACCCCAGGAATCCTCACAAGTACAAATATGACCGAACTGTTCGAGAATGTATCCGGTGGATCCAATTTGTCAGCGCACTCGTCTATGCTACTAGAATGCAACTGTCTTTTGTTTAAAGAAACCCTGAACACATGCTACAAATATCCAAGGTATTAAGCATATGTATACACTTCACTTAAATGAATACAAATACAGATGAACACTACATAAAGCCCTAAAGCATCTTTATAAAATGTCTTGTCGTAAAGAAATAGGGTTCTGGATTTGGCTAAGCGAAACAGCGCGACAGTCAAATTCAAACGGAACTCTGTTCCTAGTGTACCATCTGGTCGGTTACTCTAGAGTGAGTATTACGTATCTGTTCATGTTGCGTTAAATTTGGTTTACATTATGCGATTAAGCTTAATTTAAAATTATCCGAACAGTCGCTTCAAATTATCTCACTCATGACTTTAGGTCGAACAGTTGTCAACGACTTTCTTTCGTACTAAGCCTTGATATTCATGTTTTTCTCATTATTGTAACGACTTCAGGCAATGTCCGTCATTTTATGAGGTTTGCGGCATTTTAATCTGTTTGAGGCTAGTAAATATTTCAAGATATATTCGACTGCTTATTTGTCTATTTTTGATTATCTATTTGTAAACGTTCATTAATACTCCCATAGAGAATGTCTGTTATCCCTCTCAGAACTCTCGATTTCATGCATATGTAGCTTCCAGAAACCCACGTCATATGATGGCGACTTTTGACAGTAAGATGTACTTACAACGGCTCTGTACCTACGAAGTCATCCATTGACTACTTCACTCCTTACCATTAATTCAGTCTTGAAGCAACAGTTTGCATTTCGAGGAGGAAAAGCGCATCCTTAACATGCTCGCATTGTTGCTTGAGGTGGTGAGAAGACCATTTCGTTAGCGTCTTCACCAAATAGAACTATATCATCGGCATATTCTAGGTCAATAAGCGATCCACCTGGTGGAAGGTCCACCCTTGGAAAATTTGACGAGGATAATGTTAACTCTAAGGGGATGCCTACGAAAAAGTTAAACTAGGATGGAGAGAGTGGACAGCCCTGACGGAGACCACTTGATGTAGAGAATTTTAATGACAGTTCGCCATAGGCTCTTACTCGACCAGTAGTGTTCGAGTAGAGAGCTTGTATAAGGTTAATGTACTTCTTTGGTACGCCTTTCAATGACAGACACTGCCACAGAACCTTACGATCCACTGAGTCGAGTGCCGCTTTCAAGTCCAGGAACACAACTTTTGTCGGACGTCTAAATGTGTTTGTGTCCCAAAACTTGTAGAGTGAAAATATGGTCTAAACAGCCACGTCCGGGTCTGAAACCAGCCTGGTTTTCTCTAGTCTGCTCTTCACGAGCTCTACTTAGGCGTCTAAGGATTATCGTTGCTAATAATTTAGAAACTATTGGTTAGACTTATTCCTCTGTGATTGTCACAAGAGGACATTTGTCCTTTCTTGTAGATTGGGACAATTAGCGACTGAGACCAGTCAGATGGGATTACGTCCAGTTCCCAGATTCTACCTGAGATCTCAGTCAATCTAACTGTTAAAACGGGACCACCTTCCTTAAAAATCTCAGGGGTAATCCTATCAGGGCCTGCTGCTCTCTCTTGCTTTAGATTTCCTATAGCTTTCTGAATTTCATGTAGACTAGGAGGACTTAAATCGATCTGCCATTCAGGATGACTGGGGATCGTGGGCAACCGAAGTGTGGCTCGAGTCCAGTTGAACTGATCCCTAAAGTGTTCTGCCCATCGATCCAGTCTCCTGGATTGAGAATAAATAATAGTCCCGTAATTTTCTGAGATAGTTTCGCTAACAGATGGATTTCTAATACCGGTTTCCTTTATAAGGCGGAGCAATTGTCTACTGTTGCCTATTGCCGCTGTCTTTTCCATCTCCCTCGCTTTCTCCACCCACCACTGCCAGCGATCATTGAGTAGGTATTTTATCAACCTGCGCCTAACCTGACTTCGCCCTTCGTCATGTTCAGAGCCAGGTGGGATAAGTTTTCGAGCATCCACCAGTTCAGTGGATGCTACTGAGATCTACAGTTTCATTCTAGCCTTATAGTTTACCTTGCTAGCAGATATTACTGCTGTTTCCACAGCCTTTTTGATATCATTCCAAGCTGCCTCCAGATGGGAATTACTTACACGGTCGCCTAACTGTCTAGTTGTTCCTGAAACAAATTCTTAGCTTTATTATCATTAAGTAGAACCCTAATAGGTTTCCTTGCGACATTTTGCGTCCAGTAAGGCACACACAATACGCGCTCGCACTTGATCATGATTTGGATCTAGACATGTTTTCCAGAACGAGCCACAGTCCTCTATCGAACCTCTCCATCGGTGGCTGATGGCAATATGATCTACTTGCGTCCAGCGTTGAGACGACTTTGGGGGTCGCCACGTCAAGAAATTCTTTTCCTTATGCTTAAAGTTAACGTTTGCTAAAAATAGGCGGTTATCTAAGCATACTTGCAACAGACGGTCACCATTGTCTGTTCTCTGAGCCACGACACCATAACATCCACCTAAGTGTCTTTCCTGCTCACTTAGTCTACCTACCTGAGCATTAAAGTCACCAACCATTATTACTACATCATAGCGCCTAGCTTTTTGGAGGAGGTCCGAAAGCTGTCTGTGAAACTCATCTTTTACCTCATCTGAGCAGTAGTCAGTGGGAGCGAGACAGAAACGATGAAGAGGCAACGGCGAGTGTCTCTATCTTTCTGAGTCCTTACTGCCTCGGTTAGTCGGATAGCGCACAAGCGACTATCTACTGGAATCCAGCCCAAGAGAGCTAATTCTGCCCTAGGACTCAATGCTACACCAGCGTGACCTCTGTAAGCAGCACCAGGGCTTCCAGATACACGGAGGGTAAATCGAGTTGCTTCTTCATCTTGACATAGTGAGGTTAAGTGAATGACGCTAGTCGGATCCTGTATGCGCGTTTCTGAGACGCAGCATACATTTATGGCGCGAGATTCCAAAGTCCTAGCTAATGAATCCTGTTGCCCTATTTGGCACAACGTCTGTACATTGAACGCCCCAACATGTAGCTTAGAACGTGGCTTCAAGAGACCAGGAATAACCTTTCGGGAACTCGAATCGCTTGCAGCAGAGGTGCGGAGTGATAATGGGATATGAGCAGAGTTAGTCGTGAAGATAAGGGGGATGTTAAAGGGTGTAGGAAGGATTTGGTTGTGACCAATTTGATCTCGTGTGCTGGCATGGGTATGAGGGCGGATATCACTTCCCGGCTACCCACACCGTGGAAGGGTGTTTGTTGTTGAACCTGAAAAGGAAGGTAGATTAGTGTTGGTTTTAACGACCTGGTAGCGTGACCATAGAGCCCAAGGGACAACTGCTTAAGGCCGCTCACGCACGGCCCGTTTTATGAAAGGTTTTTAGAGCATTAGCTGTGCTCTTAAAAGCCCTTAGTGGGCACCCTTACTGCCGGAGACGGAAATCTATGAGGTAGAGTGAGGTATGACATTTTTAGGGTCGACATTTTCTAACCCTTCCTTCATTGTGAGAAGGCAGCATCGCTGCAGATGCTGGTTGGCCGAGGGAGACACCTTACTGCCGTCACATCTCTTTGCAGTCAGCAGTAAGACTTCGTCCTCAGACTTTGAGTAGCTGCTTTTGGTCTCATCGTTCTCCAATCGACCTGCCTGGCATAGTAGGACCTTCAGGAACATATGTTCCAGGCAATATTTCTCGGTTGGGTCATCACGATATTTAAGCCCGGTCACCACGTTAAGGTAGCAGCTACGGTCGGGAAATCTCTATTATAGAGTTCACATAATCTAAATAATCAGTAACCACAAGGAGTATTTGTCTTCCTAAGTCATCCTATCGATTTGATTCCATTCATCATAACCTGCATGAAACATGAGTGCAGGTGATATTATGGGATACACAACCTGTTCAGTAGGTTCATGTTTACAACTACACAACTTATTCAATGTTTTTCATTTGTAAAATAACTTCAGTCTGCTTATGCTTCACTTGGATTGTATCCCACTTAATCAGTTCCTGAAATACTGAAGATTTGATATTCTAGCTGCATATCTCTCACTCGATATTTTATATGGTTAATGTGATAAAGATGACGGTTAGCTGAACTCTATTTGAGTGTTAAAATGTCAGTGATTGTAGTTGATTCATTCTTTATATAGTGTTCATTACTGTCAACTTATAAAACCGGATATTAATGCAGATAAATCTTAAACATAATAGATTTTATGGTCTCTAAACATACCTACTTCTCAAAGCTTCATAACATAACCCAACTGAGACATCTACAAAGTCATCGTATCCAGCCACGTAGTTCGTCAATACAAATAGTGCGAATTTATGTAAGGCGATTATAATTCTTATTTGTGATGAAAAGTAATTGCTTAGTCTCCGGTTTTCGGGCAGTTTGATATTTCATTTTCATAAATTATCCAAATGCTAATAATTTCTTTTATTCATTTTTTCTCTGTATATCATTCAGTTGCCAACCTTACGTTCCCTCTTGGGTTAACTAAACGGTGAAGCTAACCAATCTTTTACAACTACTCAGCCTATCATACTACAAACGACATAATGGCGGTAGACACATCAAATAAGTCTTTGACATCATTACTGGAGAAGGTATGTAATAAATATTCTCGTCTCAGTTATTTATCTCAACCAGATGGTAGCAGCTGATACTGATTACCGATTTATGGCTATGAATGATCTAATCAATGAGTTACAGGTGAACACTCTTCGATTAGATCTTCAAAGTGAAAAGAGAGTAGGTGACAATTAACTTTTTTCTACATTCGTTTCAGGTTGTTGGACTTATTCTTCGTCTTCTGCGGGATCCTAGTGGTGAAGTTCAAAGTCTTGCAGTAAAATCGTATGTTTTTTCATATATTGACTAATTGTTATGAACAGATTAGGTCCTTTAGCGACTAAAGTAAAAGAGCAACAGATCATTACTATTGTTAAAGATCTTGTTGGAACTATGGAAAAAGGCGGTGAAGGGCAACTTCGTAGTATTTGTAGTATTGGTAAGTTTTTTATGCCTTTCAGTTATCTCATGAATCATACTTCAACTAGCGTTATGCTATTACTGAAGATGAATCAATCCATACAGTTTCACTCAAAAGAATATTATTTCACCTGTATCTTTTTGTACACATTAAAATCATGAATCAATCATTGGTAGACCACCATTAGAAAAGCCTGGAAGCACTGGACGGCCGTTTCGTCCTGGTATATGTTTCATCAGAAGTGCGCGTCCACGACTTCTACCAGTCGCAGGATTCGAACCTCAGTCCTACGGTTTTGCGCGCAAACACTCAACCTTTCACTTATCCGATGATTAGCAGGAGTCATGGATGCACACTGCTGATGAGTCCTGTACCGGGATGAAACGACCGTCTTTTAGTGCTTCCAAGTTTCTAACGGTGATCTAACAATAATTGATGATTTCATGTGTACAAACACTGATCGAAGGAAGAAGGTATCTTTTTGTAAAAGAATGCTAAAATTTTCTTGGTCGAATTGACTGATTTGGTTTAAAGTTATCTCACGATTCATCAGTGTGTTGCATGATTTTCGCCACTATCGCGAAAACTCCGAAAATAACAAGTTAGCATGTTATGGTTCAGTCAGTTATCTGCAACGTAGAACTTCGTACGTACGTACGTACATCTGTTCGAGTTGCCATACTACATTAGCACAGAGATGCAATTGTCAGTTCAAATACCATAGTGGTAGAGATAGTAGAAGTATTAGCGGTAATGGAGAAGATTAGAGTCCGAAGATATTATTCAAGAAGTATAATGTAGTGAAATAAATTTAGAAAGGTGATAAGGAATTCAGCAGATTAGAATTTGAGTGAACACAAAGGGTCGACGCATCTGCGCCATTGCAAACGACTTTGAGCTATGTCGTTCAGCGTCTCTGACAATCGATTACTATCATCTCACTGATCCAAACCAGGTAGTTTACACCTACCTACTTGGCTTAATTCACTTGTCATTGACTTCATGGATTTGTGACATGTTTTGGTCTGGCAGCCCATAGATCTCTTCCAGCTTACACCGACATCAAAAAGCATCAGTCGTCGGAGCAGTCGGTGGTTGGGCATTTGTAACACATGTCCCGGCCACCTCAACTAATGAAGTTTCACTGCTTCATAAACTGATCTACCCTCCCTACTTAGTACCCTTTTCCTAACAAATAGCATTGCTTACCTGATTATCCCAGGATATAGGAGCGATGCTTCGAATATTGGTACCCTTCGAAGTGTAGGAACGATCTGGTTGTGACTTATTTGGTCTCTTGTGCTTTTACGGGTATGAGGGCGGATGTCACTTCCCGGCTGCCCACACCGTTAAATGTTTCTTCAGGATTCTGAAAAGGAAGTTGGATTATTGTTGGTTTGAGCGACCTGGGAGTGTGACCGCAGAGCTCAACGGACAACTGCTTGAGGCCGGTAACGGACGGCTTTTTATAAGAAGCTTGCAAAGTGTTAGCTCTGCTCTTGTTTGAACGGTCTTACAGCTGGAGACGGAAATCCTTGAGGTAAGGTGAGCCGTGACATCTTTAGGGTTGACGTTTTCTAACCAACTTTTTCCGTTTTGAGAAAGCAGCATCGCTGCGCATGCTGGTTGTCCAAGGGAAACACCTTACTATTTTCACACCTTAAGAGTCAGCAGTACAACTTCGCCCTCGAACCTTGAGTTACTGCTTCTAGTCTTACCGTTCTCTAGTCAACCTACGTGGCGTGGTAGAAGCTAAAGTAACATATATTGGAGCCAATACAGTTGGGTCATCACGATAGGTAAGGAATATGTGTGCCAGCTAATACAACTCGGCTTGGTAATCACGATAGGCAAGCCTGTCAAAGTAGCATCTACGGTCTACAATGTAAGGAAGGGGTTTTCAACCAATGTTTCACAAACCTAGACTCATATCGTCCTTTTTCAGTCTTAACAGTGAAATAGTGTCTGTGGCACATGTATACTAGGAATGCATCATAGCCAGAACATAAATATCTACGAATTTTATGTAGTGTTCTATATACGTTTAATTAGAAAGCATAATATTAGAGTTTAGAAAGTTCAATTTTGTGGTCGCTTTATTTTCCCAATGATTGTTTTGTCATTTCATAATCTCTACTATAATCTGGATAACTCAAGTAGTATCACTCTATGTTACACAAAATTTTCAACTCAAAATGGAGTACATATTATCTGTGCTTAGGTGAGCTAGCTAGTTAATTTTTCAGACAAGTAGAATATGTCACCATTTCCTCTTTTGCTTTCTTTGAATACCCTTTTCCAACTTGCGTCATTTATAGCGTAGGCGAGATATCTGTTTGCTAACCAAAGGACGAGTGTACAGTGCAGCACTTCTCTCCATCTAAAAACATGGCCAGTCAGAGTGGAAGATATTCGTAGGTTATTAATATTCGATTATAGATGTCTTCGAAGTACTGCTTGTTTGTTTTGGGACTATCGAGTAAACAATGGGATTTGAATTGACAATTGCGTTTATCTGCGTGCTAATATGGTATGGCAACTTGAACTGATATACGCACGGAAAAAGTCCTATTTTTTTAATCGACTGACTGACTAAAACTGACCTTGTTATTGATCTGATTTCGCTTTTAAACATATCATTCAATTTTTTATTTGTTCACTTTACCTGTACATGTGTTTTTTTCAGGTCTAAAGACCGTTGTCAATGCTTTACCGAATGCCACTGATACTATAGTAGTTCAATCAGCTGTTCGTGAAGCTGTCTCTCCATTATTACACATGGTTATGTCACATCAAGATGATAATGTACGCGTGGAAGCTTGTGAAGTTTTAGCTGAAATCATTAATCAGTATGTATTATAATTTTTTTTAAATTTGATTTGATATCATCAATTCTGATTTATCATTAATTTTATTTATTTGTTTGTTTGTAATTTAATTTTCTATTTCATTCTGATGCTGCTACTTTATCATCTACCCGTATTTCTGTCTATCTCTCTGTGTGTGTCTGTCTGTCTGTTGTCTATCTGTTATCATGTGAAACTGATTATAGTCTGTAATTACTGAATAATCTGTCTGTTGCTGATTATTGTTACTACTGTTACTGTTAATTTTTAAATCAAGCAAAGTTCATATTTCAGGTAAATTTTTTTTAAAAAAAAGCATAAGGGACTTTATGGAGATGGTAGTATTTGTTATCTATAGTTTAAATCACAAACTGATCTTAGAGCTAGATGATCACTATCATTAAAAAAGCTGGCAACATTGGACGGATAGTTTGATTCAAGTATGAAATAGATTTGATTTGATTGTGACCAATTTGGTCTCGTGTGCTTTTATGGGTATGCGGGCGATTGTCATTTCCCAACTGTTCACACCGTAGAAGGGTTCGGATTGTCAGAAGGTGCATCGGCCTTGTGACTTCCGAGGAAACTCGGCTTTGATCATGAGAGGTCATAATTCTTCTGAATGAAGACCTTACTTCCAGGGCAGAGTTTAGGTGGTTTGTATAATTTTTTTCTTGATAACGTTTTTTTGGCGAGTTAGTTTTCTACGGGATGAGGTAGCCAACTCCAATCCTAACCCTCATCCTTTATCCGGGCTTGGGACCAGCAGTAACCCCGGAGCGGCTCCTTGTGGAGCTCTTTAGCAGCATGCATTCATGACCTTTCCATCAAACATCAAAGTTAGGTTTTTCAGTTTCAGATGCAGATGCTTAATTTCTAGACTGCCGAGCTGGCATTCAATGGTGTACATTAGTTCACGGTAATACTCAGCCCTCATACATTGCCTGCGGTAAATAACTGTCTTACACTCATCACAATTGAACTGCGATTGCTACCACTAGTTTGTTTGAACTATTTGAGATCAAACATTACTATACAGCCATTTTCAGTAGAACTCTGACGTTTGGTCAGGAGTTCAGTTCTTCAATAAGCAACTTAGACAGTAAAATCAATAATGCCAAAAGATTATTGTAGAGTTTCATATTACTAGTTGATTGCCAGCAATTGAATTTGAATTGAATAAATAGTTCAAAAGATGAACATACTTGTTTAAGATTTTCCTCAGTTCGATTTTCAAAGCAGTCATTAAATTCATACTACTGAAAGTCTCAGTAGTAAAAGAATTACAATGAATACGATTATTAAATTGACCTAATCAACGACAATGTTTCAATTATTTTTGCACAAAATTGGATAATTTTTAATTTAATTGACCTAATAGGAGAACCACCTAGTTCGATCTAGGCATCATCAAGGCAGTATTTCATCTCACTCATAAATTCATTAAATTATGTGTGGCACCCCTTTGTACCAACATTTTTGTGTTTATGTAAAATAAATAAATAATGTGACAGCAACTGATGCTCCATGGTATTTCGAACTTTAATACCACGGATTGAGTTAAGTTCTATCCGACATTTAGTCTACCATGCCTCAACACACGTAGATTCGAGGCTCCTAGTTTGTAATATATCTTCAAAAATGATGTTTGCAGTGTGTGTGTGTGTGTGTGTACTTTTATGTTGAGACCGCAGGGTTTGTCTCAATCTTTAGACAATTTAACTAATCCATTCCTCCCGAGTTATTATTCATCCGCCTTTCGACCTTATCAATCATTCTCTCATAACCTTGGTCATTTTTATTCAAGTACGTGTGTTCACTGCTTCCTTCGCTTATCGCATGTTTGACTTCTTTTATCTTACTGTGAATACTTATTCATACTTCATCGCATAGAGTTGTCTCGCTCGCCTTCTCCACTTTGTTTCGCTCTGCTTGTATGCTTTTCATTCCCCTGTCTGTCTGTACGAATGTGTTATAAAGCTGTTTTAATAAACCCAGCTATTCCTGTTGCTGAGTATTCTCTGACAATTACACTCGACAAGTCCCTAAATCAGAAAACGATTGTACAGGAAAAGATTATATTCCAAATAGCAAGGTTAAATGGAAGTAAGAAGCCAAGGCGAAAGCGAAATAGGGTCAACGTTAGTATCTTGATAGTTTTAACATAAGAAGAAGCTTCTGGAATGTACTCCACGTATCACAGCTAGCGCTGATCGGATTAGATTTAACCAATCAGCGTGTAGCTAACGCAGTCATGGCTTATTTCATCTATGTCCCGCTAACAGAATGATTGCCTGAAATAAATTCATCCAACTGAATCCGTATTTGACTCCTTCCTTATAACCGCTGTTGCAACAACCGATTTCGCCTAAGTATTAATATACACGGAAACTAAAGAGAAGATTTGTTTTATACTGTATTTAATTGTTCAGAGTTATAGATCATGGGCCACTAAAGTAAGTGAGTCCTACTTCGAATCTAACTCAGCCGCATGTTCATTGATTTGCACATGTATTTTTTTTCTTCATGTTGATCATATTCACCTTTGTAGTGTATTCCTGTTGTATTTCTAATTTGATTTCTTTTTCTTTTCTTGGTTTTAGTTTTGGAAATCTTCTAACAAATTATCATTTAGATTTACTTGATTGTATGATCACTTGCCTTGGTTGTCCACAAACTACTCTACGTAAACGTGCTATTCAAGCATTAGGTTATTTATCATGGATTATACCACAAAAATATTTTAGTTCACTTGTTAGCTTCTTACTTTCACGTTTACAATTAAGTTCATTTCTAATATCAAAACCAATTGAAAAGAATTTTGATGATTATTTATCAAAATTAATTAATGAAAATCCATTATTTCAACGACCACATTTATTGGAACAATTGAAACAACCACCTTCAGTTGATATTGTCAAAACGTTACTTCAATGTTTCAATGTTGTTTCGTAAGTGTTTCAATTCTCTTTTTTTCTCGTTTTGTTTTATTTTATTTTTTAAGACTTTTATTTTTTCTAATCAGTAATTATAATTAAACCGGTTTTGTATTCCCAACATTACACACAGCATATTCTGTATGATATGTCATCCGATCATAGAAATAGTTAACGAAATAGATTTTTGCCAACTTCATGCATATTATTTTACTTTTAAGGAGGACTGAGAATGTAGTAATCACTTAATTACTTACTTACGTCTGTTTTTCCCCTAATGTTAGTATAGACTGCCGATTAGCACTCTCCAACTAACTGTGTCTTAGGTCTTCCTTGCCAGTTCTACCCCAATTACTGCTGTTTTTTTTTTCGATTTCTGCTTCCAATTCTTGGCGTAATGTAATCTTCGGTCTTCCTCTTTGCCTTTGACCTTGAGGACTTCAAATTAGGGTTTGCCTCATGACACAATTGGGTGCTTTCCTCAATGTATGTCCTTTCCACCTCCGGTAGTTTTTCTTAATTACTTCCTCAGTTAGAATCTGGTTTGTCCCCCACAATAGGTTGTCGCTGATGTTGTCTGGCTGACGGATGTGGAGTATCTTGCACAGACAACTGTTAACAAACACTTGTATCTTCTGGATGATGGCTTTAGTAATTCTCCAAGTTTCCACCCTATACAATAGAACTCTTTTAACATTGATATTAAAAATTCTGACTTTGATGTTGATTGATAGTTGTTTTAAGTTCGTGATGTTTTTCAATTGTTGAAATGCAGTCCTTGCTTTGCTAATCCTTGTCTTTACATCTGCATCAGATCCACCTTGTTTATCAGGATAGTAAATTATATTTATTAGCATGAAGCCCTGAGAGAGAAAATATTTGTAATTAAGTATTTGATAAGCTCCGAACTTCGATGTTTTATTTATTGGCATTTGTCTATGAGTTTACTGCAACACTTGATTCTGACTCCTCTGATACAGTTGACGTATCAACTTTGTCGAGTATATTTTAGAAGTAGTTGGTAATCAAATGATTTAAATCTCTTTTTATTGTCTATTGTGTTCAATGTCCAATTATATATAAAGATTAAAGGAAACTTCAGTGTTTTTTTTGTAATGATAATCAATTCGTAGACGAATCTAACCAATGAAATGGTGTTTAAAATCCTAATATGAGTAGCTGTTGAGTATCTCATTTAATCAGTCATGTGTAACGTAGAATCAGACACATTCATGCATCGGTTACTGTAACTAAATTAACACAGAAAGATGAAATACCAATTCCAGGGTAGTAGTAGAGGTGGTAACAGTATGAGCAGTAGTAGTAGTAGTAATGTTATGCTCTTCAATTGATATGCCTGAAACTATTACGAGTCCCCTAAGTCGGTAAACGAGAGCGAAGACAAATGATCCAGTGACGCGATAGGCTACTCTAATCCGAGCGTTCCAAGGCCCCACTAACAGTATCAAAATGTCTTGATATGGCGTAGAAAGTGTATTCTACAAACACCCAGAAAATATTAGGTTTTTAAGCACACAAATCGAGTTTATTTATACATGACAGAAACGTCGTTGGGAGAGCCACAAAAATAGTGTACTAAAATAATACATCAACCAATAACAGTCAAGGATTGTCCGGGCGTGGAATGTAGCCTCAAGATCAACTAATCAACCCATGCGCTAAGACATAAAATTCAAAATTAGGACCTTGATCAAATGAGTTCTCGGGATCTAACGTCCCCAACAAGTAGCCGAGGTTAATTGGGACTCAACTTATGAAGAAACACAAGCAATCTCCCATTTACGTGATTTGTAATGAATATTTTCAAATGTTTCACAATTTTTTTTTCTAGCCAACTTGATATACATTTTTTTTGTATTACAATGTACATGTGTGTTTGCTCATTTTCATGTGGCCAGAAACAACAGCAAATACTTATTGTTCTTGTATCAGTTCTTCTCTGTATTACTTTGAATCGCAATAATCTTATCTATCTGTTTATTGATAATATTTTTTGCTTGATAGTCGTCAACTTCAACGTGCACCACAATGTATTGCTCCGGTGCTTCGACTTCTCATATCGATTGCATGCAGTTCGAATACAAATAATCCAGAACAGGATGATATTGCTGAGTTAGTTATTCAAGTGTTGGAAACATTAATTCGACGTTGTCCTAGAGCAATTTCACCTGCTCTTCCTGAAGTAGGTTCTCCTTTTGTTTGTATCAGTGTGTAAGTATATTTTCTTTTATCTTCCATGGATCTATCGAAGTTGGTCAGTAAGTACTTTTACCTCTAGGATTAGTGTTATGATGGGCAAGAATTCAGTTGGGTAGTTACGTCTTAATTCATTAGACATTGAGTAGCAGCAGCTAAGTCTTCCACTTAATATGAGTAATACCAGAACATCCCAAAGTTGCAAATCATGAGGCGGTGAAAAGCAGAAGCGTTAACTGCTTGAAGTGTACAAAAAAACCGTGTGTATTTATAATTTCCAGTCTAGACTGAAAACCTTATTATATAATCATCCAATCCGCAAACAGTGATGTTACACAATTGTTCAATCACTATATGCCTGATCGATATATTTGATAAACTTTATCAAACTTTGGTTGGATGAAATCTCTTCAGTTTCTTGGAAGCCTCTAGAGACTGCATCTTACTTTCTGGGAGCTATCCCAATTATGATCTCTATGAAATCCAACGATGTGTAATTTCTGTTACCAATTGTCTCTATAATGTTTTCGTGGATAAAAAAAATCCTGAATAGATCCTGGGAATACTGCAATAACGTAATCAATCAGGGATCATGTTGTCAGCCGACTGTTTCCTTGTTTTTTCAATATCAACAAATCAGATTTTAGAGACTTCATAGTTATAACTTCAGGAAGAATTGAACAAATAAATGAAACTTGATAGTTCTGCTAATCATCTTAAGAAATTCTGAGTTATCATTGAAATGTTTACAATTAGACATTTCCATTCCTACTCACTGGAAATTGTTAAGAACATATTCAATTAGTTTAAGTTTTAACAACCGTTCTCTTTCCGTTGTATACCATTATCACTCTTTTTCGACTGATACTTAATTCTATCCGTGTAATTGGCAATTGTGTTAATTGTCAACTTTTGTTTGGTTTAATACAAAATGATCAGTTCGACTTGTAGGATTAGTGTCAGATTCACCTGAATAACGCAACCCTGAAATCTATTTCAGTTGAAAGATTTAAGCCTTCATTAAAGTTACTGATAAAATAACAACAGTCTATCAGAAAGCAATTAAATTTAAGATATGACAGATTCAAAATCGCGGTTCATGCAAAATGCATTTTAACCAATCAGAAAATAACCTGAGATTAATAGTGGCTAGCAATGGAAGATTCAGGACAGTCCGTATAGGATGCACATATACACAAATGAGACTGATCAATTGCTGTGTTAACTGTCAGTGAGAAGATCCAAACCACCAATAATAATGTATGAGAGACTAGCCATCTTGTCAGTAATTGACTTAAATAGTGTGGTAAAATGAAAAGGGATGCATCCTGATTACTAGTAAGTAGTATAATTATGAAAGAAGAATTTTACAACTGATTATAACCCGTTTGGCGTTTAGTTTTCGGGTAGCTGGTCTACGTAACATCATTATCCTTAAATTTGTGTGCGCGAGGGAGGGAAATCAAATCAAATAAAAATAAATATTGTGTTGATTGCAACTTATTTGAACCTTATACCTGCATTTTCTTATTTCCTTATGATTACCTAGTGGCTCAATGTCGTTAAGTCGTTCTATTCTTTATAAGCCTTCAGACTACAAGTTCAAACTTCATCCTACCGTCCATCTGAATAGTAAAGTATGAGTTTAAACGAAGTAAATTGTTATATCCGTTAAAAGATTATGTTTGTATGTAATAAAACATTAATCTATTGAAAGTAAGACAATTACTTCAAGCGAGTAGAGCAATTTAAGAAAATAATCAGTTGAATAAGTCCGTTTTATACAGTCGTTTAGCTATAACGTAGAACTTTGTACGTACGTACATCGGTTCAAGTTGCCATACCACATTAGCAAACAAAGATTGAATTGTCAATTCGAGTCTCATAGTAGTAGAGGTAGTAGAAGTATTAGTGGTAATGGAGAAAATTAGGGAGTCAATCAGTCAGTCAACAACAACATAGAACTTCGTCCATATGTACATAAGTTCAAGTTGCCATAATACATTAGCATAGAAATGCAATTGTCATTTCAAATCCCATAGTAGTCGAGGTAGTAATAAGTATTATCAGTAATCAGAGAGATTAGCGTTCGACGATATTATTCAAGAAGTAGAATCTAGTGAACGAAACGTAAAAAGAGAAAGGTGATGAAAAATTCAGGTTAGAATTTCAGACAGAAGAAAAAATGTAGGTGCACTTGCACTTAAGTTGGATAAATTCTCTATCCTTTTGCCAATAATTTGTTCGTTATAAAAATAATGGAAATATATTTGAAGAAGTTGGTGTTTCTCATGTGATATCCCAGTGTATTTATGCTACTCTTACTTACTGTTTTGTTTTTGTTCTAACAATAAATAAGCTGATCAATTTATTATGTGAACGCCTTCAATACGATCCAAATTATGACTATGGTCTTATGGAAGATGGAGATGATCAGTGAGTTCTTTGTTTTTATTTTTTATTTTCTCTTATTAATGATTACACAATGCATCAATCAATTATTGTATCGCAATCATTATTTCTCTAATGTAGAAGATTAATGTTACTGGCTAGCGAACTTAGTATATCAGCTGAATATTTGGAAACTTGTTTATTTCCTCATTTTAAGTGATTGATCTCATGAAAAAGCTCTAATGCAACTGGTTACACATTATAACATCCGTATGTTGGCTGGATTGATGCATGGGAGGTCCAGTTGTTGATTGTTTGATCGTAGAAGGTCTGATATGCTGGAATGCTATTACAAGTTCACTTTACTCGGTAAACGGAACGAAGATCAACGATACAGTGATACGAAAGCTATTCTAATCCGATTGTTCCAGGCCACGCTAACTAGACGAAGAAGTCTTGATAAGACGTAGAGAGAATGTATTTCACCGGCACCCAGAAAAGTACGAGACGGACAAGCTCACAAATCAAGCTTATTTATACAATGATAAAACGCCCTTGGCGAGAGCCACAAAATAGTGTACTAAAATAATCCATCCACCAATGACAGTTATGGATTTTCACAGTGCGAAATGTAGGCTGAAGGTCAACTTAGCGTCTTTGGCGCGAAAACATAAAAATTCAAAATTTCAGAAATAAATTACAAAATTAGGGGCTTTTCTAAGTAAGTTCTGGGGATTTAACGTCCCCAGCAAGGTCTAATAATTAAGACAGTGAAAGAATGTTAAGAGATGTCGGTACACCAAAAATAGATTCAGACGAGATTAGTCCCTTCAGGATTCCACAGACTATGTGGATTCTTCACTTCTACCTACCTAGTTTTAAGAAATGAGCGTTCATAATTCGTCCTCTTTTTTAATTGAATAACATCCCTGTTGGGTAAAGGCGGTAAGTGGGACTTTTCTGTTAGGGTTTTTAGATACAAGGGAGAATGAACTTTTCACTCATGATAGTATAAACACATTGAGGAGCCTTTTTTTCAAGAATATCACCACAAAAAATTACTTACTTACTTACTTACGCCTGTTACCCCCAATGGAGCATAGGCCGCTGACAAGCATTCTCCAGCCTATTCTGTGCTGGGCCTTCCTTTCTAGATTTACCATATGTGTTTTTCATTCTTCTCATATCTATCTCTAATTCTCGGCGTAATGTGTTGATTGGCCGTCCTCTTTTCCTTCGACCTTGAGGGATTCCAGGTGACGGTTTGTCCTGTGACGCAGTATGTTCTCATACAAAGAATTATCAATGCTAGAGCATAAGAAGTTTTTTAAGGAAAATTAAGATCCTTACCGTTGGTTTCTCTCATCGAGAAGGGAATATTTCCTTCTTTGAGCTTAAATGCTTCAATACCTATACCAAATAGTAGTCAGTGTATGAGTTGGAATTCAGTCATAACTGGGCGCAAAAAAGCATCATGTTATTGAAAACTAGTTTGCATAGGTTTCCCCGCTTTCTCATTCAGTTATTTGAATTTATTGTATTAGTCAAATTGTGAAATTCAGTACGTCAGATTTCCTGAAGGAAGTAGTCATACACACTGGGACGGAACAGCTTTCTAGGTTCCTTTTAGTGATATTATAGCTAAGATTAATCAGTAGTGTAGACCTGTAAACCGAAAAAATGTTGAAAATATATCTTTCCGTCGATAGATATATGTCAAACTTAAACTTTAGACCTCCCATTCCGACCGTAGTTGTTACATTGACGTGGTAGTCGGGCTTGCCAAGCCGAGCTATATTGGCTGGTGAATATGTTCCTGTAGGTTCTATCTTACCATGCAGGTCGATTGTTGAGCTGTATGGCTAAAAGCAGCAACCCAATGTCGGGGGGCGAAGTCAAACTGCTGACTGTAGAGGAATGTGACAACAGTCAGGTGTTTCTCTCTGATATCCCTTCCCACAACGGAAGGAATAGGTTATAAAATGTCAACCCTAAAAATTTAACACCTCACCTTAGCCCACGGATTTCCGTCTCCGTCAATAAATCCACTTGAAGAGCTGAGCCAACACGTCACCTTCATAATAAAAGGCCGTGCACGACCGGCCTCAAGCAGTCACGCTCCCAGGTCTCTAAAACAAACACTGATCCAACTTTGTTTTCAGGTTTCCCAAGAAACACCCTTCCATGTGATGCGGGCATTAGGGAAGTCACATTCACCATCATACCCACATAAGAGCACACAAGACCAATAGTGATTAGACTTTCTATAAGTTATCTTTAACAGTGTATCAACAAAGTAGCAAAACGAGATCATTTGTGTTAGATCATCATGATCCTTCTATATATAATACATTCGTTATTTCTATATTCAATGATTATTAGTTATGTTTCTTGCCATTTTGAAATTTCTCCCCACAGAATGGGCGTCAATAATAATAATAATAGTAGTAATAATAACAATGACGATGTTGACTTCGAAGATGATGATAATGCTGCTGACAATGATGATGATGAAGATGGTGAATATTCCGATGATGAGGATGTATCATGGAAAGTTAGACGTGCTGCAGCTCGTGCTTTAGAAGCAATTATTTTAGTTTTCACTGAAATGACTGCTAATTTCTATGTATCTATTGCTCCTTTATTAATCAAACAATTTAATGGTTAGTCGCAATTTATATAATTTTTATTTATTTTATACTATAATATGGATTGAGTTTACGTTGACGCATGCAATAGTGAGTAATGGTAGGGAGTGAAGTAGTTGAGCGTGGTGTCTGACGAAATCTCAGCACGGATATAGATGGCTGTTTTGGTGTAGGCGAGATATCCGTCTGCTAACCAAAGAGGAGTGTGCTGCGCATCAGTTTGCTCCGTCCTTGTCTATGGCTGGGAAACATGGCCAGTAGGAGCACACGATCTTCTTAGGTCACTAGTATTTGATCACAGATGTCTTCGAAACATCGCTCGAATATCCTGGGACTAGTGAATATGCATTTGTAGTGTTATGAAATGGGTACTAGGTAAGGATAGCAAATCAATCGCTGAAGCAGTGAATGTTCATCAGTTGAGTTAGTTGGGATGTGTGTTACATATGCTAAACCACTGATTGCCTCGACGATCTATGTTTTGTGGTGTAGGGGTAGGCTGGAAGAAAGCTAGGAGCGAGCAGACCAAAACATGGCACAAATCCGTGAAGTCAATGACAAGTGGACTGAGTCATGTTGGTTGATGTAGACCACTTGATTCGGGTACTCGAGACGATAGTTACTGATATCTTCTAATGACACAGTTGCATGCATTCTTTGTGTCCTCGCAAATTCTAACCTTCTGAATTCCTCGTGACGTTCATCTTGCTCTTCTCAAATGTTTTTTACTTGATTACACTCTTTGAATAATATCTTCGAACCCTAATCTTTCCAATTACTGCTTATACTTCTAATACCTCTATTACTATGGGATTTGAAAGAAGAATTCTATCTGTCTGTGCTGATGTAGGCTGTTGATGCAATTTTCTACATTTTCAATTGCCACACCTGGTTAATTCATTGAATTTAGTGTATCATAGGGTCATTTTTGTACATTTTCATTTGATTGTTTTTCTTGTAATATGCTCAATATTGATACTCAACTACTGCATATCCCAATGCAAGCTGTTGATTGACCTATTGACCCAGGTTAGAATAAAGCTAGGGAAGGCAAAATCAAAAATGTGTCATCAGTCAATGGTTTCATTAACTGTTGAACTGAAACTTCATCAGTTGACCTGGTTGGGACATGTGTTACGTATGCCTAACCACCGATGGCTTCGTCGAGCTATATTTTGCGGTGTAGGAATAGGTTTAAAGAAAGCTAGGGGCGGCCGAACCGAAACATGGCACAAATCCATGAAGTCAATGACAAGTGGACTGAGTCATGTTGGTAAATGTAAACTACCTGTTGGAGCCCACGAGATGTTAGTAATCGATGGTTAGAGACCCTGAATGACATGGCTGAAATCCGTTTGCAATTGCGTAGGTGCATACATTCTTTGTGTTCTCTGAAATTCTAAACTTCTTAATTGCTCATCACTTAAGTTTATTTTACTAGATTCTACTTCTTGAATCATATCTTCGAACCATAACATTCTCGATAACTGCTAATACTTCTACTACCTCTACCACTATGAGATTTAATGTGACATTTGCGTCTGTGTGCTAATGTGGTGTGGCAATTTGAACTTATGTACGTACGTACGAAGTTCTATGTTGCTATTAATTAATTGATTTAGCTGTAATGATAGATGACTAATACGTGTTTCTGATTCACATTGGTGATTTTAACCAATGGTTGACGATGTTGGATGCCCTTGGTCATTGTTTTCTTTTCCAGTCTTGAATTTTAACATTATTTCCCTCAGGAATTCATAGTCCGTTGTGAAGTTCATGTTACTCATAAGATGGCTTACAAGTAGTATACAGTGGAGCATCGCTTACAAGTGGCTACCAGAGAGGAAGAGTGTCAGGTTATCGAAGCGCACGACATGACCAAAGTAGTTTTTGACGAATAGAAGAGAAATGATGGAAGACAGTCAGTAAACTGCTTCGATTGCTGCAAACGCAAGTGCCTTATCGAGTACTGTGTGTGTATGTTTCGTGAACAATTTGTTTTCCTCTTGATGTTGTCGTGTATTACATCGACGATGTAATTATATCTACCACTTTAGTTATTTAGCTTGATAACTTTATGAATTTGTTGTATTTGGTGATGGGACAGCTTGAATCGATGAACATATTATATACACCACTCCTCTTACCGAAATATAGACAGTTCAGAAATGTTATTTAACTACTTCTCAGCACTACTCAGTTATAATTTCAATTGAAAAAACATAACTATTGTGTTAAGCATCAATCTTTTCTTCTTATTTTCATTTTAGAACGTGAAGAATCTGTACGTTTATCTATATTTTCATGTCTTAGTGCATTGTTACGTCAAACTCGATTGACATCAACAATACATTTGAATAATAATAATAATAATAGTGTTATTACTAGTGGATCTGTTAGTGTTAGCCAACCGAATCATAATACTAATCATAATAGTACTAATAGTCCAAGATCATGTGATAGTTCATTATTTGTATCGGAAGCTACTTTGGAAGAATTGAAATCGCAGCTGCAAGATCCTAATAGGTAAGATATATGTATATGTATCTATCTAATTCGTTGAAAGATTAGATGACATTTGATGAATGGTTTTCCGAAATGTTCAGTTGTTGTTTTTTCCTCGTGTTATGTGAAAACCTTGTTTCAGATATATACGTTTTAGTGGCCCACGGTCTGATTCCGCAATAAGTCTCTTCGTCAATTACCGTGTATATCATACTTTAGTGAAACTCGTTTGTACGATGGCGGTTATAAGAAGCCAAATACGGATTCGGTTGGATGAGTTTATTTCATGCAATCGTTCACACAGAAAGACATGAATAAAATAAACATGCATAACACACCTTTCAATTGGAATAATCACTATTTTATTCATCTCATCTTTTTTCTGAAGTTGTTTTTTTTTCAAAATATTTAATGGTGTTAGTTCAACTAATTGCTATCCTGCCTGAGCTGTTATCTTGAGGTGGCGGTCGGCCATGCTTATCATGATGACCAAACCGAGCTATACTGGCTGGAACATATGTTCTTGTAGGCTCTACCATATCAGGCATCTCAGCTGGAGAACGATAAGACTAATAGCGGCAACTCAAGGTCTACGGGCGAAGTGGTACTGCTGACTGTAAAGGGGTGTGACTGCAGTTAGATGTCTCCCTCGGACAACCGAAATCTGCAACGATCCTGCCTTCTCACAAGGAAGCAAGGGATAAGAAAAGATCGACCCTACCTCACGGATTTCTGTCTCCGACTGTAAGACCATTTGAAAAGCGGAACTACCACGTTAGAAAGTTCCCATAAAATGGCCGTTCGCTACCGGTCGCTCAGACCGGCCCTAATCCAACTTCCATGTCTAGTTCCTCAAGAAAACACCCATGATGTGAGCAGCTGAGAAATGACATACACCCTCATATTCCTAACAGCACCACGAATTACTGTTGTTTTAGTTCACTTCAACTTATTACTTAATGCCTACTAAGACATACTTTGATTAAACAATGAATTCGAATGTTACATGTGTTATGTAATATTTTCCTTTCCTGTGAATTATGTTTTAAGTGCTCAATCACGATTATTATCACTGTTACCGACATTGTATCGTGGTATTGAAAAACAAACATTTCAGTCGACAAGTAATAAAGTGAAATCTCAGAATGCTAATCGAGTAAGTAAATTGGCTTATTTATTTGTACGAATAAAGTTTATGCATGAATTGCAAGTAGATTTTGTTTTTCGACCACGAACGGTGGTGTATCGGCTATTTGAAGATCGAAAAATTTAGGTTCATGCCGACTAACTGACATCAAGCCCTAACGATGTGGGATTGAAGTTATTTGCCAAGCAATAGTATGTGACCATGGAGCATTCTTTTGCTCTTTGAGTTGAATTAGTTTACTTGAGTTGCTGTCATTGTAAATGTAAGCCACCGCCTAGCTGATTTTTTCTCCCCGCTGATAATTTGTAGTGTGATTGTTTCAGTCGACCTAGAGGAGTTCTACGAAATCGTTCCAATGAAATTTTAGTGGTCCGGTATGTCTGACTTCAATTTGGACGAATGTTTAAATACGCTATGAAAATAACGCTCCTGTACAAAATTATTCCTCGTCCATTTAACACCTAAGCTAATTCTGTTTGACCGCTGACGGTAATAAACAGCTAAATAAAGTTTAAATGAGATGAATTTATTTCATACACTCGTTTCTACAGAATAAAAAGTGAAAAAGCCAGACGGAACAGTTGAATGGATCAACTCCCTTTCTTAATTCGTGAATAACTCTATTTCTGGCCAGACAAATATTAAGCTAAAGATGTGTGATGAAATAATTGGGTACCGGATACGCACACACACACAGACACACGCTCAAATAAGAACTGACAATTTTATAACAGAATAATTAACATGGTCAAACTGTGAATATACAATAGATTGATTGATCACATGAGCTATTCTGATTTTGCCCTGAATCATATGGAGCGAGCTAAACGCGTATTTAATGTTCTAGGTTCAATCTGCATTCGAATTTACATGTGTTTTGTAATTTAATTTATATGATATTGTTCGCTTGCACAACAGAAATGTTTATCAGTGTAAGGTATTTTTTGGAACTACAGGTACAGTCCACTTTTACTTAAGAGCTCTTAACAAAGTGTATCAGGCTATCCATTACTCAGTGTCTCTTTAATTACACACAAAAATCTAATAGTCGTTATTCTAAATCTGATTGGTTCGTCAGTATAGTATAAGTACAGTTTTACTTTGTGATTAGTATAGAGTTTTTATAGGGATACTACCCCGTCACTCAGGTCTCATATGATTGAAAAATGAAGAGTACGGAATTAGTGTAGTGAAGGAGAACACAGGTGGGCAACCAAATTGTATTTAACGAAAATTACAGAGTTACTCAGTAAAATCGGAAAACCATATCGTAAATCTTCAATCCATTGTCTGACATTTCACTATTCATGCGTTTCATACAAATTCGATTGTGTTCCCACTCTTCCTTTCTTGATCTTCCCCCATCTTCTGCTGTCAGACATTACGTTTACACTCGCGTCATATACTACTTATAAGTAGCGCGCACCACACTAGGAACAAATCATTACCGGATATGAGACAAAACGGTATTAGGAGTGTCTGGGCCTGTTTGAATCAAGCTGGGTTGCATCTTCAGATATATGTGCATATATGTGTACACCATATGCTATACTGCTATATAGAGCTGAAGGCTTCCTATGAGACCAGAGGTTCGCTGTAAACATTGTGTATGGCTTGGCATTACTAACAGTCCATATATATAATTGGTTAGCAGGACGACCGACGTCATTGATACTTGTGGTTGTTTTGCATCATTCCCGAGGGCCATTGCCATTGGGGTTGCTGTATTGCATATCACCGTTGTTAATAATAATGAGTCTGACAGTCATGTAAGCGGGATGGGTCGAAATAGCCTGTTCATGATGTGCACATTGATTGACGACGCGATCATGGATTGGAAATAATCACTATATATGGTACTAGTATATATATATGGTGTGAATAGTCCACTAGGGTATCAGGTACCTGTGTGGTTGCACCGCGGCACTAAGCCGAACTGTTCATGTCGAAATTGTAACACGTGAGCAGTCTCCTTGGCTCTCCTGAAAACCAATGAAATATTGGCCTTGACGATAGAGGGTTAATTTATATTATTGCGAATAGAGTTTGTTGAGTTTTTGTAGCTTACATCACAGACCGACTCGACATCATCATTAAAAATCAGAAAGCAATGGACATCTGTTTTGTCGTAGTTTGAAATTTTTCTGCACTATGCAGCCACAACCCCTCTGCAAGCGATCGAACTCAAGACCTTTGGTTTCTCGCATATAATTGTTTAACTTCTAAACCATGTAACTGAAATCTTAACTTTAACCAATTCATAATATTGTACAAACATTTTCCACATTACGTGCCGTTGACATTATTGAACTGTACTGGTTACAGCTTCTCATAAGAAGCAATTTTAGAAAAATCACTGAAAAGCATTCAATGGATTAGCGAGCACGGTATGGAGCAGGGGTTGTTTGTGGAGGTCGTTAAATTTTGATGATTTACATTAATTACTATGCTTTCCGATTGTTAAATGAATTAATTTCGTCTTATGTTCTTTATTTAAAACAAATCCATCTTTCTTTTATCTACAAAAAAAGGTTATCTCAGTTTATCGACATGCTGCATTTATGTTGAATCGTGATTTGGCCTTAGCTTTACCAGGTCAATTAGGTGCTTATTTAAATAATATATTAATGATGATCAAAATTTCATCCGAGTAAGTATGTGTTCCGCATGGTTGGTTTATCACATCTCAATTGATGTTTTCATTTTATATTCTCTTATAAATATATATATATATATATATGATGGGTAGTGTTATTAGTACTTGTGTTACATCGCGTTCGCTCGACGAGCCATAGAGGGGTAGGTTAGAAGAGAGCAAGGAGCGGCCAAACCAAAACATGGCACAAATCCATAAAGTCACTGACAAGTGAACTGAGTCATGTTAATTGGTGTAGGCTGCCAGGTTGGGGGTCCGTGAGTCAATCTTAATCGATAACATGGCTCAAAATCGTTTGCAGTAGTGTAGGTGCATCTATTGTTTGTCCCCTCTCAAATTACAGTCCTCTGAATTGCTCATCACATTTATCTTTCGCTTTTTAAATTTTTGTCACTGGTTTATGCTTCTCGAATCATTTCTTCGAACTGTAGTCTTCTCCGTTACTGTTAATACTCATACTACATCTACTACTATGGGATTTGAAGTGATAATTGCATCTCTGTGCTAATGTGGTATGGCAACTTGAACCAATGTACGTACGTACGAAGTTCTACGTTGTTACTGATTGACTGACTGATCATTCACTTGGTTTCTAGTGTATTGAAAAGAGTTTTGTTAGGAAGATTCAACGCAGACCAACTCATCTAGGGTTAAATGTTCAAATTTTACCAGACAAATGTGACGTATTGGATTAAATCTTATGATACGAAGAATTCTATTTAGCTAAATTGTCCTTGTGAATTTGTATTTTCCTGCGATCTCATTCTTTATTGGCCCATGTAGTTCACTCGATTTAATTTAAATAAAAATAAAAATAGGCTGGGAACAAGATGTATTTTAATAAACTGAAATAATAATGCCCAGTAGGAAAAAATATTCGAGCTTTTAGTGGCCTTGCTGTAATGGCGATTAGTGTGATCGACTAAATATGCTATGGAATAAATCTTCCCTTCTGTTTCCCTGTGTTGCAGCATACTTAGGCGAACCCCGTTTGTGCGACGGCTGCCACAAGAAGCTAAATATGGATTCAGTTTGATGAGATTATTTCATGTACTCACTCATTTAAGCAAACAGACATGAGAATGAATAGCGTACAAGCAAAGCGAACCGGCGAGGCATAACTAAATATTTACAGTCAGACAAAAATAGGCTGGAAATGTAATCAGCGAAGTAAGCAATGCACATAGGCAGTCACGTGAGCGAACAATTTTGACAAGGTCGAAAGATGATTGAATAATGACTCCAGGCAGAAAAGGTTAATTAGATTGTCCGAAGGCGATTACAAGTTGTGCTGGTTCAACATATTAGTACACACACCATGTGTTCTTATAAAAATTTTTACATGAAACGTCTAGTATGTTCCTTACTAGCGCTATTTGTTCTCAAATAAATCAATCAATACATCCAAACTTTAGTTTTCACTGAGTATACTATTGTCATAGTTCCATCTTGCTAACATACTGGTATATCGAATATTCAAGACCTAAACTTCAGTCTACAACTTCTGAACCATGAATACAATTCAAAGTCAATTATTATCAACCTATAGCCTAGCACCAACATGTATTAGTCATATCAGCACGAAAAGTATGAAAATTAACCAGATGAATAACAAGTGAATCTAAGCAACTTTAGGATCTGTTTATTAGCGGACTTCGAATACACACAGTGTGTATTCATCATCACGGTTGAGTTCGATAATCCATAAAATCATCGATTAGTATGACGGTTTTGGTTTTGCTGCCCCTAGATTTATTTCCCTTATAACATCCAACATAGTACATTGAGGTTGGCGGTGGCTTGGCATACTTAATAGATGTTCTAACCACTTTATTTGATAAGAATTCACAAACTCTTCACTGTTTATAGTTTACCTGTACATCACAAAACACATGAACAATTCTTCAAAGATACCCATTATCAAAAACGTTACGTTATTCACTTATCTTTTACAACATTCGGACGAATAGATATGATTGTAATTACTTACTTACTTACTTATTTACACCTACTAGCCCTCATGGTGAATAGGCAGCCAACCAGCAAATTATTTTTTCTGGTTAGCGTTTTTTTCTTTAGCGATTTGGATTTCTACGGGATGGGATCGCTAACCACCCTATATGCGCAACCCTCCTCGTTTATCCGAGCTTCGGACAGGCAGTAACCCTACAAGGGTTCTAGGCGGAGTTGTTCGTAGTTAATAGTTCAAACAGAAGAAAACTTCTTTGTTATTGAAATCATGTTTATTTCTTGACGTTGTTGTTACTGTTGTGTTTGTTGTTGTTGTTACCTTAGTGATCCGAATACAAATCACACCGCGAAAATGGAAATGATCAATGTTCTTCTTTTATTGTTGAGTACACATCCAGCGAGTTATTTTGAAACAAAACTTGATCTACTCGTTCAGGTAAGTCAAATAAACACCAGAAAAATGATCATTTTCATAATGGAGTTTTTGCAATTGTTCAGTTACATTGAAATCCGGAATTGGTCATTTTAACACGACCATTGGAAACTTGAAAGCACAAGTTGGCCGTTTTATCATAGTATGCTACTCCTCAACACTCCACATCTGTGACCGTGCAGGGATAGCAGTTATTGAAACCAAGTTAAACTAACTATAAAAATTGATGCTCTAAGGTTTTAAAGATAGTTATAAGTTTAATTAAGATCATGAATCGATCAATGTTGGGCCACCATTGAAGGCCTAAAAGAACTGAAAGGCCATCTTGTACTAACTAGTATGGGACTTCCCTATGACTGCTCCTCCCTCCCTCTTCAAAGCCATCATCCAGAAGATACAAGTGGTTATCAACAGTTGTCTACGCAAAATACTTCGAATTCGTTGACCGGACACCATCAGCAACAACGAACTGTGGGAGAGAACAAGTCAGATTCCAGTGAAGGAGGAAATCAGGAAGAAGCGGTGGAAGTGGATAGGACACACACTACGAAAAGCACCTAACTGCGTCGCGAGACAAGCCCTCACATGGAACCCTCAAGGCAAAAGGAAAAGAGGAAGGCCAAGGAACACACTACGCCGAGAAATAGAGAAAGATATGAGAGGAATGAACAAACATTGGACAGAACTGGAAAGGGAAGCCCACGACAGGGTTGGTTGGAGAAAACTGGTGGGCGGCCTATGCCCCATTGGGGGTAACAGGCGTAAGTAAGTAAGTAAGTAAGTAAGCTCCTCCCTAACACTAGCTGGAATCAGAACAAGGGTTTTCGGTTTCGCGCTTAACGCTTGACTTCTTGACTTCTACGGTGTTTTAATGTCTAACTTCAACCAGTCTATGATATTACGCGACCGTCTTTAATTGTCTTCCGTGTGGGTAACTGATTTACGCCCGACACGGTTGAACTTCCACACTGAACGCCGTCTCATCAATCAAGAGCTTAAGCGTTTGCTCGCGAGTTCGAAGATTTTCTGTCTGATTCCCTCATTGGGTCTAGGATACATATTGTCAATAAGGAGTCCAACACTTGGGCTATGCGACCACCCATCACCTCCAGGTTTCCACCGACATTCCAATATTGATCAGTTCAATGAAGTATATTTTTTATGCATCCTTAATAGAGAATTTCATGCCTAATTTTTATTCCTTTTTTTTTCTCTCTCTCTGTTTTCTGTTTATGCTTCATCAAGTTAACAGTGCAATCGATCAATAATTCATTTTACCGTGTTGCTTTAGAAGGTTTAGATTTATTACAACTTTTATGTACACATTTGAAAAGTTTAAGTAAGTTTTGTTCTTTTCAATTTTTTTTTCAATATTTATTATATGTAGAGAGAAAGCTGTTTATCAGTTCTGTTTTTTTTGGTGCTTAAAAATCACAAACCGATCGGAATCCGACAAACATTGAACAGCTGTTTTGGCCTAATATCGATTTGTGTCACTAGAGATCAAATATAAACAAAACTTTAATTTCTAATGTGAACACTTAACATCATCTCTGACGATGTTTTAAAGTCTTCATTGTGAATTCATTCCTTATGTCCGACATAGCTGAACTCAAAATTGCAAAAATTTCCTCTCGTAAGCATTTAGTAAGTATCAGTTATGTGGGTTGTGATAATTGTCGACTTTTATCGATTACACAATGTCATCTAAGTTAAACAATCATTGGAAACCAGAAGGCACTGAACGTTCAGCATTGTGCATTCATCTTCATCAAATTCAAAAACCTGCACAACATCCATATTGATATTTGTCTGTTGTTTAAAACGAATCATCTTAAAAACCGCCTTCCGTAATAAGATGACCTATCACTTCAACAAAATGTTATGACTGTATAACAAGTAAACTATTCGATGTTAGAACAATAAATAAATCATTATTCTTTTCTTATAGTCTATAAATTGATCATTTTCAAGCAACATAGAAACACTTGCACACTACATACATCGATTTAAATTCATGACAATGATTACAATTTATTATAGAGTTGTGAAGATTTTTGAGCTTCGTTGAAATCATGAATTGACCATTGTTAGACTACTATTAGAAGAGAAGTATGTGCCTGTGACTAGCGAAGTTCAACGCTGTCAGGTGTTGCAGTTACCTACCGAAGAAAATAGGTTAGGTTGCGCAATACCTTGGATTGATTAAAATTAGACATTAACACCGTTGGATGCTCGCTCAATATCCTAGACGTTAAGCGTTCGTGCATGAGACACAAGGTCTTGGGTTCGATTCCTGCCTGTGGGAGTCGTGGATGCTTACTGACACTGATGAGTCCCATACTAGGATGGAACAGCCTCCCGATTCTTTTAGGTTCTCAATTATGGTCTAACAATGATCGATTATAATTTATTAACTATCAGTTAACAAAAATTGTAATTGAAAATACATTCGCTAAGTCCAATGAACAGAATTCTTACTGAATTGATCAATGTAACTAAACCTCGTTTTCCTTCAAAGTTGTATTTAGGGCTTCAGTATCTTCAACGTAAATGACAATAAGACTCTCGTGATATTTGCGAAATCATTGTTTCTTCTTGAATTACGTTATTGAAACACGCAAACATTAACAGGAAGATGCAGCTCAGTCAGTCAGATGCAACGTAGAACTTCGTACGTAAGCACATCAGTTCATGTTGTCATACCACATTAGCACAGAGATATAATTGTCAATTCAAATCCAATAGTAGTAGAGGTTGTAAAGGTATTAGAAATAATCGGAGAGGTTAGGACTAGAATATATTATTCAAGAAGTATGATTCAGTGAGATAAGTTTAGAAAGTCAAAGAAGAGGTGTTGAAGAATCCAGAAGATTAGGATTTGAGAGAACACAAAGAATAAATGCACCGGCGCCATTGCAAACGGTTTTCAGCCATGTCATTCAGGGTCTCTAACCATCGATTATTATCATCTTGCGGACCCCAACCAGGTAGTCGACAACTACCGACATGGCTCAGTCCACTTGTCAATGACTTCATGGATTTCTGCCATGTTTTGGTTTGGCTGCCCCTAGCTTTCTTCCAACCCATTCCTACACTACAAAACGAAGCTCGACGAGGCAGTCGGTGGTTAGGCATACGCAGCACATGTCCCAACCACCACAACTGATGAAATTTCTTTACGTCATCTATTGATCTGCCATCCTCACCTATCACCCGTTTCCTATTAGCAGCATCCAGTCTCCTGGATTGAGAATGGATAATAAGACCATCCTTTTCCGAAATAGTCTCACTCACACTTGGGTTCCTAATACCAGTTTCCTTGATGAGTCTGAATAGTTGCCTACTGTTCCCTATCGCCTTTGCCTTTACCTTCTCTCTCGCTTTTTCCACCCACCACTGTTCTCGATCATTGCGTAGGCTTTTTGTCAGCCTACGTCTAAGCTGACTCCGCTCCTCAGAGCCAGGTGGGATGAGTTTTCGAGCATACATCAGTTCGGTAGATGCTATTGAGATCCACGGCTTCATTCCAGCCTTATGGTTTACCTTACCAGAAGATATCACTGCTGTTTCCACAGCCTTTTTGATATCATACCAACCTACTTCTGGATGGGAATCGCTTACATGGTTGCTTGACTCTCTTTCTGGTTGCTCCTGAAATATATTCTTAGCTTTATTATCATTAAGTAAGACCCTAAGAGGCTTCCTTACGGTGTCTTTCCTACGTCCAGTAAGCCTCAAACAAACATGGCCAGTGAGAGTAGAAGATATTCGTAGGTTACTGGTTTTCGATCATCGGTGTCTTCGAAGCATTGCTCGTATATCCTGGGACACCCGAGTGAGCAACGCTGTTATTAGGAAACGGGTGCTAGGTAAGAATGGCAAATCAATATATGAAATAGTGAAACTTCATCAGTTGATGTGGTTGGGACATGTGCTACGTATGCCTAACCACCGACTGCCTCGACGAGCTATGTTTTGTGGTGTAGGTTTAAATTGAACGAAATCTATGGGTGACCAAACTAAAACTTGCTTTGACTTTGTATGGATCGTTTTTTCTAATCTCTTATGGCATTTTGTATCGATGCGCGTACATGCCAGGTTCTGTGTTGGCTGCCTGACATGTAAATAATCACCAACAGTTTTATAATTCAATAAGAATATGTGCATGCTACTCTCAGATAGATCCGGGTTGCAACTATTTTTCCGTATTTATCCATTTCTTAGCCGTCGTTTAAACCATGAATCGTTGTCATAAGTTTTGTTGTTCCAGTTCTGTGATTATATAGTTAATTGTTCCCTTATTGCTTTGCTGTTTTTTTCTATCACTTATGGTTTATTCTGTGCATCCATCATAATTCCTTGATTATGTGGCTGTGTCCGTTGTGATTGGACTGATCACAATATACACTTGATCTGCATCCTTACATCCTATCCTCTGATTGACTCTACTGGATTTAAACGAGCTTGTAGTGCCTCCACATATATTCCAGTTCGCTTACATCTAACTTGGTTAAGCCCTTTCGGTTAATCTATTTAACCAAGCCATTTGCGTAGCAACAATTCATATGTACCATTCGTTCTTATTATTGTCTGGTTTGTATGTGCTCACATGACGTGTCATTTGACCATGTCAATCACTCGTCGCTTTGTTCATGTGTGCCTATTTCGTTTGTTGCATGTCTGTCTTATATTTGTCTGACAATATATTCTTAGTCATGCTCTATTTCTTAGAGTTGACTCTTAGCCTTCTCCAATGCGCTTCGCCTATTCGTTCTCTTCCTTCTCTCATTCTTTCGCTGCTTTTCAACTTCGCTATGTGGCGTGTCCAAAATATACTTCATACTTCGAATTCGCCTTCTGATTTATAAACCGTCAGGCGCTATTCAAACACGCAGATGAATGGACCGCACAAGCTTAAGGGCAATTAAGTGTTAAAGTCTTTGTTTTTGTTCATTGATTGATTGTCATTTCTTAATTAATTGTATGATCCTACTGGCTTATTATGAAACGGATCGATAATCGGATTCGGGAGAGAACCACTGATTTTGACCTCAAAAGCGCTAATACAATACAAAACCCTCTCTTTCATCTTTTTCGCCGTCACATCACAATTTGTATTCATTATTTCCCTTTAATTTTATCTTTTGGGTTTCCTTCCTATTACGATTTCCCTTCATCTGATAAATTTTTTTAAAAAAAAAATGGTTTCTCATTGTTTTTAGACGATGACAAATATGCCCAAGTTCTATTTACTCCACTGTTCAATCAATTAAAAGCTACTGATCGTGATCTTGAATTAAAGGAGAAAGCTATTACAGTGACGTAAGTTTAAAATAAAGGCATTTTGGACAAAAGATGATATTTGCTTACGAGTGCTAATCCAGTTTTGACTGGAACGTTTTATCAAAAGCTTGTTCTAAATCGATAACGTTATTCTATTAATAATGAAAATATATAAGCTAGAAATTATGTTTGCAAACCTCTTAATTGATAAATTACTGTAACAGTAACCAAGACAAATAAAATGTTACGAGAATACTCGTAATTTTATTAGGAAATATCAAATTTGTCCCGAAAATGATTGATAATGATATAAGTTATTGAATATTAATAAGTAGTATCGTATAATTTACAAGAAAGAACAACACATATAAGCGATTAGATCGTCATCAGGTTTTACTCTCAAATATACATGAATATTTATGTGAAAATGTTAAACCAATCAAGTCATTTTGAGTCAATACTCACCAATAAATTAAATGGATTACGTCACTACACATAATATAGGTAAAGCTACAAGTTGGCAGTAGGAATACAGGTATACTGATATTAGTGATAAGAATAATCAAATACGATAACAAAAGTTGGAGATAGTAGGTCAAACGTGGTGGATAAATAGACTTAAAACAATTTTTTCCAAATCATTAAAACCATTACGTACTAAGAAGTGTTTGCATAATTAGATAGTGAAGAAGAATATAAACGGAAAGAGACAGAGAATTACTAACAAATACCAGGATGTGGAAATAATGCTAATAATAACAAAATAAAATTTCAAAAAGAAATTTTTCAAACGTCAGTTAAGTCATATTTGGCCACAGAAGAGACAGGGGTGACACAACTTTCTTCTGAACACTGAAATTGGGTTTCTGCTATATGTAGGAATCTGGTTTGTTCTCTTCGACAGTAGGTTGTTGCTGATGGTATCGTCCATAGAAAACTGTTTATAAACACTTGAAATAATGCAGTAAGCTGTCCTCAATGCACGATTTTGCATCATACGAATCCCGTATGATGTTGACTATCTACTCAGGCACGCTTTAGTGTAGAAGAAGCCACCATAGTAGCATCCTTTCTGCGCAGTTGGATGCTTTTGTCGTATCTATCTGTCTTTTTTTTATCATTCCATATGGTACTCAGTTTTCTCTCGTAGTGTTATTCGATTTGTCAATATTGCACTACAACTTAATCAACTCTCTCACTTATTTCTTATTGTAATATTTTCTTTTATTTATTTATTATTTACAGCGCTGTTTTTCTTTCACAAATTGGTTATATGGTTCAAGCAAATATTGACGATTGTTTAGATTTGATCTATCGACGTTTAACCAACGAGTTAACTCGATTGGCTGCAGTTCGTGCTATACAAATTATCGCTTCGTATGTGTTTTATACCATTTGTGATTAGTTATGTGTAGATATTTTGCATTATTGATTTGATGTGTACAATTGCTGCCATATTCCATGGTATCCATTCATTAAAATTTGTGTTTGAATCCACGCTCTGTGTGTTTTGATAAACTGTTGCGCATGCATGTAAACACGTCAATTTGATAGGCTTAAACTATTACGAGTTTACCTTAGTCGGTAAACGAGAGTGAGGATCGATGATCCGGCGAATCGACAGGCTACTCTAATCCGAACATCCTAAACCTTCATTAAGTAAAAGAAGAAGAACTTGATATGAAATAAAATCTGTATTCTACAAGCATCCAGAAGGTACGAGCTGCGAGTCCAGAAGAAGACACAGATCTCGGACTGGGGATCCGGGTCCAGGTCATAAAAGATTACAGATAATGCATATTTATACAGTTAGGTCGAATAGGAAACAACATTGTAGTTTGTGACATTGACAGTTAGGGCGACCAATAGTTTGTGACATTGATAGTTGGGACGACCAATAGAATTAGACTTACAAACAATTATCTTAGGATATTGGATGAATATCCTAACATAAACACAGTCGGGTAATAATTATTAGTGCCCATACGATTAAAATACTTGTATACATCTAAACTTCATAGACATATGAAGTATTTTTGTTGTTTTCTAAATGATCGTGCAATTTATGCATTTGGTTCCAGCATTCAATGTCCAATTTATTGTTGTTTTTAATTGTTTCTGACCTGATCGAAATAGAATATTGTAAATAAACTGTTTATCATTTAAACAATTGTTGAATAATGATCATGCTTTCAGACAAATTGGCACATTCATAACTCTTTACTAATGAAAACAATCAGTCATAAGTGTCCCTAGGGATGGATGCATATCATTGGTTAGGAGATGGATTTATTTTCTAAGGAAGAATATATATATATATATATATATATATATATATACAAATGCGTATGTATATTGTCCGGTAGGCAAATGAACTTTCTCTTCTACTGCTTCCTTCTTGCTTAACTAGTCAGTTTATGTTGGGGAGGGGTGTTGGCGCTGATCTCGTTCACAAATGAGATACCGCGCATATCATAACAGTCACTTGAGATGAAACAAGGACTTATCGATTAGTGTATTTTTATTAACATGCAGTAAATAAATTTTCCTTAAAGTTTACAACTTGAGCTGTTTTTGAATAAATTATTTTTAATTCACAAATAAAAACTTACTATACACTGATAGATTAATCAAACACATGAATTAGTAAAGGTGGCCTAACTGTTCCTGATATTTGAAACGAGAGAATTAACTGCCTAAGTCAGTCAGTCAGTCAGTCAGTTACAACGTAGAACTTCTTACGTGCGTGCATAAATTCAGGTTACCATACCACATTAGCACAGAGATGCTATTGTCAGTTCAAATCCTATGGTGGTAGAGATAGTAGAAGTAATATCAGTATTCCGAGAGATTAGGGTTCGAGGATATTATTCAAGAAGTATAATCTAGTGAAATATACCTAAAAAGAGAAAGATAAAGGTCATGAGGAATTCAGAAGGTTGGGATTTTCTAGAACACAAATAATGAATGCACGTGCGCCATCGCAACCGGTTTTGAGCCATGTCATTCAAAATCTCTAACCATCGACTATTATCATCTCACAAACCCCAACCAGGTAGTCTACTTCTACCAACATGAAACAATTCAGTTGTCAGAGATTTCATGGATGTACCCTTCTATCACGTTGTGTGCAGCCGGAAAGTTACAACCGCCCTCATAACCCGTAAGAGCTGACGAGATTAAATCGGTCGTAATCCAGTCCTTCCTACATCTTTTAATGACTCTTATCTCAACGACTAACGCTTCTCACATCAAATTAACTGCTTAAGTATCCATCTGTTAAAAAAAAACAACCTAATATTATTTTGTAGGCTTAAATTCTAACTCTGACATCAAACCTTCATTCTTGTTGGTTGATGCACTCAAGACTGTTTACGAGTTGTTCGAAAGTCAACAGTATCGTATATACATACTATTGTTGTTGTTGTGTTTTTTTCTTAAATGTGTAATGCATTTCATTTTTATTCTAAAATCACCTAGTTTGTGTAATTGTAGTGTTTGTTTTTTCTGTTTGTTTGTATGTTTCAGATCACCTTTGCAATTGAATCTGTCGAAATTTCTAGTAAGTTGATGATGAGCAAGCAACATTCGCTACTGTTATTTATCTTTTGTTTTCTGTGTAAACAACAAGACTGTAGTCAGAATCTCAGGTCATATAATTTCTGAATTATACACAAGGTACTAATTACTCAGTAAGGATGGAATCGCTACAACTGATGTCTACGAACGAATTGACTTCTGGCATGAACTATGCAAGGAGATGCAAACTATATAGTTGTAGTCTTTACGATTATCGTAACCAGTGGTTTAGATATATGGGTTGACGTACCTCAATGTCATTCATACTAGCGCAGATTAATCCTCCCTTTTTCTCCTGTCGGTTCCTGAATGTTAAGAATACTTTTATACATTTTATTCCAAGAATTTATTTTTTCTAGAGTTGTATTGTCTATGTACGATCCTGTTCTATCAGTAATGATACTATTACTACTTCTACTACTCTGGGAACAACCTGCTTTGCGCTGATATTATGTGGCAAGTTGGATTAACGCGCACATGCATGTATCAAGATCTAATGTTGGTTATGATTTATCCACGCATCCTTGTTGATTCGGCTTAGATTATTATATTATAGTTCCCACATTTACTCATATTGTCCGATATACCCTTGTATGGCCAAGAGTGCGGAGAGTTCGTTCTCCTTTTCAAAGTGTTCTCATACGGCTAATGCGAATATAGTGACTACCAGAAAAGTCCTACTCATTGCCTTCTCGACACTGAGGTGTCGTTTACAAAACTGATGGGAGAAAACGAAAATATGCAGCCCCCTGACCTGGTTGCTGGATATATGATGGATCCACTTAGAGAAGTTGTAAAACCACAATTCCAATCTATTGGTGCACATGTGCGCCCCAACATCCTGGGGAAATAAATGACTTATAAACCTATTGTTGGTCACCAGTTACCATGAGACTCCATCTCATAAAGCAACTTCCCTAACTAGTGGATTAGACCTTGAATGACTTGTGAACTAGCCCCCAATGGAAACCACCTGTTCCAACTTGGGCACCTATATCTCTCCTGATGCTCCTCCCCTTCAATGTCGATATACTTATGGCGAAGGCGAGATATCCGTTTGTGGACTAAAGGACGAGTGTACTGTGCAGTAGTTCGCCCCGTCTTACTTTATGACTGTGAAACATGGCCAGTGAGAGTAGAAGATATTCGTCGGTTATTGGTTTTCGACCATAGGTATCTTCGAAACATTGCTCGTATATCCTGGGACACCCGAGTGAGCAACGCTGTTATTAGGAAACGGGTACTAGGTAAGAATGGCAGATCAATCGATGAAGTGGCGAAACTTCATCAGTTGAGGTGGTTGGGACACGTGTTGCGTATGCCTAACCACCGACTGCCTCGACGAGGTATATTCGAAACATTGTTCGTATATCCTGGGACACCCGAGTGAGCAACGCTTTAAATTGGACGAAATCTATGGGTGGCCAAACTAAAACTTGACTTTGTATGGATTATTTTTTCTAATCTCTTATGGCATTTTGGATTTGATGCGCGTACATGCCAGGTTCTGTACAAGCGTGGCGAAGCGAAGTGAAAAAGGCGAGCTGACCAACTCAGTTCAATGAAACATGTCTTAGTACTTGTAGTCTAACAAAAATAAGCCAGGCATTTGATAAGCGCAGTAAGCAATGCACATACACACTCAAGTTAAGCTACCTAGGTTACAAGCCAATCATTGACAAAGTCAAAAGATGTTTGAGTAGTACCTTGATGAGAATGGATTGATTGAATTGTCCAAAAGTTGAAACAAGCCTTGTGTCTTCAACACAAAAGTACACACCCTACACTCCTTTCTGGCAATAATTATTATGCTTAAGTAACGAAGTAAATAACCTTTTCATATATTAATCATTATTTGTCAAATTTCTTATAATTCAATCATCACTAACCTCTTTTTAATTTGTGTTGTGCTCTTTTGATGTTTTCTTTTCAAAAAATTATCATTTCAGTCTATGTCATCGCATGAATTAGGTACATTTTTGTCAAAAAATGATCGTACTTTACGTATGACCACACTTCGTTGTTTATATACCATTTTATTAAAATATCCAAATAGTCTTGAAGAGAATTGTATTATGACTACATTGAATTTAATGCCAAAATTATTAATTACTGAGCATGATTTACAAACAACACAAGTAAGTATAAATGGTTTATTACTATCATTATTGTTTTATATTTTTTATGGGTATGAGGGCGGATGTCACTACTTCCTGGCTGTCAACTTCGTAGAGCGGTGCTTCTTTAGGAACATGAAAAGGAAGTTAGATTAGTGTTGGTCTTAGAGACCATGGAACGAGACTGCAGATAGCGCAACGGACAACTGACTGGGGCCAATCACTCACGATCTTTTTATGAGAAGCTTTTAAAGTGTTAGCTCCGTTCTTCAAGTGGCCTTACTGAGGAAAATGGAAATCCGTACAGTAAGGTGAGGTGTATACTTTGTTAGGGTCGACCTTTTCTAACCACTTCCTCCAGTCGTGAGAAGGCAGCATCGCTACAGATGCTGGTTGTCCTAAGGAAACACTTTCCTGCTATCACACCTCTACAGTCAGCAGTACGACTTCGTCCTCAGACTTCAGCAGCTGCTTTTAGTCTCACCGTTCTTCAGTCGACCTGCTTAGTATGGTAGGACCTACAAGAACATATGTTCCAGCCGACATAGCTCGGTTAGGGTCATCACGATAGGCGTAAACGCAGCAAAACAGAAGGTCCTAAGTCCGATTCCCGTGAGCGGGGATCGTGGGTGCACACTGGCAGTGATGAGTCGCATAGTAGGATGGAACGGACTTCAAGTGCTGTGCTTCCAGGTTTCTTAATGGTAGCCTAGCACTGATCGATTCGTGGTTTCACTGAAACTCAACAATCTCCACAACTCTATAGTGAATATTATTGTTTTGTCATTACGATTAAAGCGTTTACTAATCCGGTTTATAGTGAATATTTTGTTCATGGGATCTTACTTCGTCAGATTATGCCCTTTGAGAATTTCTTATATATTTTAGAATAACTTTTTTGTCTAATAATCATAAATGCATTTAACGACGAAATATTTCGAGTGTGAGGATATTTTGTCCAAATATTATCAGTCCATATACATAGGATCAAAACAATGTACTTATGTGTGTTTGTGTGTTAAGTTCTGTCTTGAATGGATTGGTCTTAGGGATCGATTGTTGTGTTGTGTAGATTGATATCGTCAACAACAACAACAACAACAACAACATAGAACTTCGTATGTACGTACATCAGTTCGTGATCAACTATTGTATTGTGCAGAATAAGGTAGCAATTAACTCTTTGAATGATTTGTTTAGTTATGTCATTTAATACACGATAACTGGTTAAATGGACAAACTTAAAGTTACACATAAAAATGCCCTACTTTATTCCTGTTCCATCTTCTATAGGTTATTCTGTCTGTAATCTCTCACTCAATTATTCCATATTTGGTATGTCTAACTGTTAGGGACTTTATATCTCCCTGTAATATGCTTGGCTATCAATGAAAACTCGGGTTAAAAATCCCAATCTTCGTCAATGTTCATCACAAATGAATATGTACCAAGTATTCTTGAATAAAAGTATATTGATATTGTGAAAGTACTATTCATGTGCTAAGAAGTCATTTAGGCGAAACATGATATTTTTTAAAGCCTAATAACTCATTAATTATTTCACATCTGATGTTGTTCAGCTAATAAATTGGTATCAGCATCCCACTAGGACTCTGGGAACTTCTTCTGGAAATCAGTCACTTGTGAGCATGTAATTTATTGAATATGGGCTCAATGGTCTAAGTACGTCATTGCTCGCCACACAACTTAACAAACATCATGGTTTCGGTCTTTGGAGTGGCTGCGGATGTGCAACGCTGAGGTGTCGTTTACTAGGACAACACATCTGTCTGTTGTTTACTTGTTTTTAATGGTTGTGTAATTATTATCAGTCGGTTAAATAAATTTTAGTAATGTTCATCATAATCTTGATAATGTACATCCACTAAGTGTTCTGTTCTGAGATGCATGTACGAACGAAGTCCTACGATGTAGTTGCCTGCCTGACTGACTGAAGTGTTCGTTAGTGTTTGTGATTCCTGTCCAGTTGGTGTCATAAAATATTACCGCAAATGATTTTGTCAGATTGTGACTTGCATAGTTAACTATAATAGTAAATATTTATCTCAATCCCCATCGGTTAATACCGCGGCGAACTTTATCCCCTTCTTATCTATGGTTTAACCAACTTGAAATAAACTATTTTCATTGTAATTGCATCCCACTATTTATATGCTCCCGTTTAATCAAACTTTTGTGTGAAGTGTACTCAAAAAAAAACATACCCCCCCCAAACAAATCGATTCATCGTTTTCAATTTTTCTTTTACGTTTTCTCTAGCTTGCTCTTCATCTTGCCGCTTTATTCTTAGAATCATCTAATCCTTTAGCAAGTCAAGTTTTTCAAGTTATCATTCAAGAATCATTTCTTGAATGCCTTATCAATTTAGCCCATTCACCATTACTACGTGGTCAAGCTTTAGATGGAATGCTTCGTTTAATGCGTGCTTTTGGTCATCTTAAGAGTACAGATGAGGAGGGACGACAACAATTGACGGTAAATTTTTATTTTGATGTTTGTGCTTTTTCATACTTGAGTATGTAGGTATCATCAAATCAATAGTACTGAGTTCGGACCATATAGTGGGATTGTAAATTTTCACCGACTAGCCCGTGTTGATCGATCCAGGCTTCGGGGTTGGAATTTGTGCTATTACGATCATGACGAATGGTTACAGACATTGTATGACATAGTTCGACAGCATCTGCACTATCAAAGATGCATTCACTCTCCCTCTTCCGTTTCGAAACTATTTCATGCTTCTTGTTACATCATCAGTTCACTGCTCTATATGGAATCCTATCGTGTATACAAAATATTTTTCTCTACCACTCGTACTACTGGTACACTTGCCTTGATAACTTCATCTTGGTGGTGTACGTACTTGTTGTAACGCTTGCTTAAATAATTCCCAGCTAAATCCTATTGCTTAGTATTCTCTGACCACAATACACTGGACAAGTTCCAAAGAATCCAAAAACACGGTTGAACAGGAAAAGATTATATTCCAAATAGCAAGGTTAAATGGAAATAAGAAGCCAAAGGTGATGGCGAAGGCGAAAATAGATACAACGATAGTTTCTTCATAGTATTTACATGAGAAGCTTCTGGATTGCAATTCACGTGATCGAATGGATTAGATTTAGCAAATCAGCGCGCAGCAACGTAGTCATGCTTTAATTCCATCTGTCCCGCCAACAATACTGTTGATGTCATGTACCATCTTGAACCGATAGATATACGTATCAAATTTTATTTTCAACCCTTAATAATACTCTGTACAACCTTTCTGATCGATATGTATAACTGCTTTACTATTTTATAGTGTGATTTTTTTTGCCTTATGATAAATACCTGCAAAGATATAATAATTTCTGCTCTTCAATAGATGAAAATCTAATGATAGAACCTTGTATAGAGTAGATGAAATGTGACTAATAACGGAACAAAGGGATGTGTAGGTTTCGTCCTCTATATGAATCTTCAGTTGAATATACCTACATCCCAGATTTGCTAAGCGTATGACGCGTTTACATGTGTCACCAAACGTACTGACTTCGAACCTCAGAGTGAAGAATACCCAACTTCCATTCACCCAACTAACTTAGATCAATCAATAGCGGGGATTATAAAGACTATTACAAATGAAATTAATAGAAGCTTGCCTGCTGTCTTGTTTATAACTAGAAGCCTGCATTAGCCCTAACTCTAGGTTAGTCATGTTAATCGAAATATATCATTAATCAAGTCTAAAAATGCTAGGTTATAGACGGAATCACATACACCGAAGTAAACTAATACCGATTGCCTAATACAGACATAGATATCTACTAACGTGTCTCAGACACTTTGTTTTAATTAATTATTTCCGCCTGTTTTGTTATTTTGTTGTTGTTGTTACCCAAACTTTCTTTCTTTTTCTGTTCATTCAACTACACACATACCCACACCTACACAGCTCTTCTTATCGCGTTTGCTCAGTCCCATTGAAAGTAACAATAATGGTAGTGGTACCTCCTCTTTATTTGGTCATACCTCTGCTGTGAATGGTAGTAATACTGCTGCTACAACTAATCGATCATCTGGTATACATCGCGATGCTTTGCCTAGTTTAGCTCAATGTATGGCTGCGCTTTTGGCTGAGCTTCCAATGACTTCATCTGAATCATCAGCGTCGTCATCTCAATTAGGCAATAGTAGTAGTACACTAAGTAGTGTCAACAAAGTGGTTGATCAATTATTGATATCTGTCAAGGTAATTTACTTGTTAGCTTTATTTTTACAATAATAATAATAATAATAATAATAATAATATTTTTCCACAAGCTTACTGATCATTGGGGGTTCACTTGCCTATGCAATGAGAGACTTACTTACTTACTCCTGCTGATCAGTATTCTCCAACCTGCTCTGTCTTGTGCGTGTCTTTCCAGTTTTATCCAACTTTCGTCCATTCTCCTCATATCTTTCTCTATTTCTCGGTGTAATGTATTCTTTGGCCTGTTTCGGCCACTAACCCAACCCTTCTCCTTTATCCGGCCTTGGGACTGGCAGTAGCCCGTCCCAGAGGGGTGCTCTAGGCGGAGTTGAACCCGCCCTGTTGTATAAACAGTAATATAAAGTCGACAAAATTTTGTTGTGAATTTTACCTAATCTATTTATTTATTGATATATTTTTATTCTGTTTGTTTTTATATTGTGTATGGATTTTTAAACTTTAGAATCCTTCTACGTCACCAACACAATTATATTTGAATTTGCTTATTTTGGGTGAATTAGGACGTAAAGTGTAAGTTTAAAATGCAATAAATACGTTGTTGATAGTGTTTTGTGTTGTTTTTGTTTTTTGAGGAAGTATATATATATATATATATATATATATATATAATAATGATAACATTCTTATTGTCAATCAGTCAGTCAGTTAGTTATAGCATATAGAGATCTTGCTTCATCAGCATAGTCATATTGTAGTGAAGGAGAATACAGGTGAGGTCAACCGCATTGTATCTAACGAAAATTACAGAGTTACACAGTAACATCGCAACCGTTAATTTGCGAATCTTCAATTCATCATCAATCGATTGTCTGACATTTCACTATTCATGCGTTTCATACAAATTCCATTGTGTTCCCACTCTTCCTTTCTTGATCTCCCCCCATCTTCTGCTGCCAGACATTACGTTTACTGCTTATAAGTAGCGCGCACCACAATATGATAGTAGAAGTATTAATCATATTAGTACTAATGAAAAAGATTAGGCATCGAAGATATCTTTCAAAAAGTAAGCTCATGAGAAATTAGAGAGAAGATAAAGAATGGATGTATTTACGCTATCTCAAACAATACAGAGTCATGTCATTCAAAATCTGTAACCACTGGTTACAATTATCGTGCGAATCCCAACCAGATAAATAATCCATGCCTATTCATATTCTTCAGTCCAGTTGTCAATGACTTCATCAACTAACTGGCAGGTGGCAATTAATTGTGTTGATATAAAAGACTTGATTCAGACACCTCTTTTATTAAAATTAAAAAGTTCATTTTTTTTTAGACAAAGATTTTGGTAATAAACTAACAGCGGAATTCAGAACACGCATCATCTTTTTTTATTCGAATCTCGTCAATTAAATATATCTGCCACGTTTCTCTATTGGTATTCATGCTCTAAGGGGTGGTTGGGAAGGTGCTCAAACACCGATTGTCCCGATGAGCGATATTTTGTGATGTCATAGTAGGTTGGCAAAAAGTTAGGAGCGGCCTTATCAAAGCAAATCCATGACAATTGGATTGATTCATGTTGGTAAGTGTAGAATATCTGGTTGGGGTCCGTGAGACGATAGTAATCGATGATTAGAGATTTTGAATAACATGGCTGAAAACCGTTTGCATTGCCTCAGGTAAATTCATTCCCTTCTGTCCTCATAAATTCTAATCTTCTGAATTCTTCATGACCTTTCTTTTCCTCTTTTCAAATTGATTTCACTGAATTATACTTCTTTAATGATATCTTCACTCACAACTCTTTTCGATTATTGTTAATACTTCTGCCTACAGCTACTAGTATGGCACTTGAATCGACAATTCGTTTTCTGTGTGCTAATATATTGTATGCCAAATTGAACAGATGTACATATGTACCAAGTTCTACATTGTAGCTGACTGACCCTGATTCATGCTGGGAATATTCAAACCACTTATAAATCAATAGAAGTGTTTGTATCTTGTTATTTAACAGTGAATTATCTCGATACACCCAATTTATGCTGACGTCTTCATGATCCAGTCGATCACCAGGAGAAAGAGAAAGGGTGAGATTAAGCAACCTTGTGTGACACCGGTCTTCACCTCGAACAAGTCTGTCAGCTGACCTCCGTGCACGATTTCGCAGTTGAATTCATCGTAAGGATTCCGTATAATGTTGACTATCTTCTCAGGGATACTATTATGTGTTATAATAGATTACGACAAAGACAAATCTCTCTGGCCACTTATGTATGGAAATTCAAATTTTTTATATTCGCTCCGAAAGCCCCCCCCCCTATAACCTTCAGATTGTGTTCCCCATTTGGAAGAACCCCTAAACATCATTGGCTCATTTTCTCTTTTAGTCCAGCTATTTTATGACACTTTCAGGGACATTTTTTTGTGATGTATATATTAGGCATGAATTGAGTGTTTGTTGTTCGTTCGTTCGTTCGTTCTTTCTTCCCATGCTGCTTCCGGATGATATATTCTTTCTACCGACTTATAAATGAATAAAAGTGTTTGTATGATGTTATTTATCAGTGAATTTTCTCGATACACCTAATTTATAGAAATTATTCATTTACAGAATGCTTCCGGTTTTGTTATTAAAAAACAAACAAACACAAGTTCTGTAATCAATTCACTCTTAAAATAACACTAAGTTTCATATTCAGAAGAAACATAATAATGCATTATTCAAAATCCTTTGCTAAGTTGATTGAATATGATATTCTTATCATAGAATTTCGTAAAGCTTCATTTAGTGAGTGACGCCAAGTAGCGTTTTTTGCAAGAGTATTTCTTCGAGGCATACAAAAACCCTACACATGAATGCTTTTGTCGAACATTGTTTCCCTGAAGATCTCTATGTAGTGAATGAGAACACAGGTGGGGCAACCGAATTGTATTTAACGTAAATTACACAGTTACTCAGTAAAATCGGAACACCTTATCGTAAATCGTTCATTTGCAAATTATCAGTTCATCACATCGAACTGGACTATTTCTGTTGCGATACATCAATCCAATGTCACTGTTCATGCGTTTCATACAAATTCCATTGTTTTCTAACTCTTCCTTTCTTGTTCTTCCCCCATCTTCTGCTGCCATACATTACGTTGACACTCACGTCATATACTACTTATAAGTAGCTCACACCACATCTACACTTGAGCAGCACATCAGGAACAAGTACACGTTATATGTATATCAGAAATGCATAAGTTTTCACCTCATATCTCGTGACCTACATACATAGAAGCACATGTAACTCCTCAGGTCAAGGCATACTTTACATACATACTAGTAACACACCAGTTTTCATTCATGCATCCCTTTTTTGTTTTCATAGAAGAAACTTCTAAAATAACTATTTATCCTGTGAATTTTTTTATTGGTCCTATATCTGCTGTCATAATTCTCAGAATAGGTTTGTTGAGATACTTTATAAAAGCATGAATCGATCAATGTGTTAGACCACCACTACTAGAAACATAGAAGCACTGGACGTAATCAGTGGATTTCAACCGTATTCGGTTATGAAGCACCCCTTGTAAAAGACAGTGGATGAGGTTGCGCAAGACCGTTAGACATATTAACACCGTCAGTTCAGTAATGTAGAGATTAAGCGTTCTTGCGCTCATGACCGTAGGTGCTGGGTTCGACCCCAGCAAGTAGCGGAAGGGCATGAATGTGAATAGCTTATCATTCTGTCACATATTTCCTGTTGTTTTCTTATCAAATTACTTTTTATTTTGTGTTGTGTATTTGTTTTTCTCTCCACAGTGATTTAAGTTCACGTACTGACCTACGTGATCTATTAATCAATTGCTTATCATCTATTACAACAATCAACAATTCAACTTCTTATCATCATCATCATCATCATCAACCGCATCAACAGCAACAACAACAACAACAACAACAGCGTTATTATGATCAACAAACTCTGTCCTCCCAATTATCAACTCATGGATTTATGATGAGTGAAGAAGTGAAACCAGCGGCAGCATTAAGTTTAGGACGATTAGTTGTTGGTCAACCGGAAATTCTCTTGCCACCATTAATTGAATGTATTTCACAAGCTGTAGTTAAACAACAAGTACAATTGACAAATACTACTGATGATAGTAATAGTAGTAATAGTAGTGGTAGTGGCCCCAGTGGTGGTGGTGGTGGTGGCGTTAGTAAAAATAATACAAGTCAACATCAATTGTATTATTTAATTCAAGCTCTTAGAGAAGTTAGTTTTATTTTAATTTTTGAAATTCAGTTTAATAATGTTTTTTTTCCTGATATTTAAATCAAAAATGAGTAACTAGAATGGATAGAATGTAGCTAACAGTGGAATCCACGATGCATGTTTCGTCCTAGTTGGGACTCATCTCTAGTGTTGGATGTACCAGCTTCATTCGAGAGTTGATGTCCACCCCGGGACTCGAACCTAGTACCATTGATTGCAAATGCCACCTCGTTATCAACTTAATATGCTTGAAACTATCACAAGTTCACCTTACTCGGTAAATGGAGCGTAGATCAATGATGCAGTGACACGATAGGCTACTCTAATCCGAGCATTTCAAGGCCCCACTAACTAGATCAAGAAGTCTTGATAAGGAGTAGAGAATGTATTCTACAGGCACCCAGAAAGATTGAGGTTGCTAAGCACACAATCAGGCTTATTTATACAATGATAACAACTCCCTTGGGAAAGTCACAGTATAGAGTACTAAAATAATCAATCCACCAATGACAGCCAAAGATTTTCCGAATGGGAAATATTAAGCTGAAGGTCGACTAAGCATCATATGCGTGAGAACATGAAAAATTCAAAATTTCGGAAATAAATTACAGAATTATGACCTTTTCTAAGTGAGTTCTGGGGATCCAAAAGTCTCCAACACAATTAAATTACTGAATTCAGATAGCCACTTGCTTTTGTGAAATGACTTACTTACGCCTGTTACCCTTGATGCAACATAGGTGGCCAACTAGCATTCTCCAATCTACTCTGTCCTTAGGCTTTAAAAATCAATTGAAGAATAATTCATTTGATGAACTTTTTGTTTCATGCAATTTTTTTTTCCAGATTTGTTTGCTTTTTACGAACAGCTATATACAATACTCTTAAACATACGGCAGTATTCTATGACTAGTTTTTCATTGATTCATTATGATTTGCGTACATTTAAAAAATTTTTTTTCTTCAAACAGGTTCTTGTCAATCTTGCTGGTTTGGATCCTAATCAATCGTTAAAACATCATCTAGATTCAATGTGGTAAGTTGTTTAACTTAATACACAATCTCAACTCTTTATCAATATTTCTGAATTTTTTAACACATTGAAATCACCAATCAATCATTGTTAGACCACTATTAGAAACTCAAGAGCACTGGAAGATGGCCGTATCGTCCCGGTATGGGACTGACTCATCAGTGACAGTGCGCATCCACAACTCCTGCATCTCTCAGGATTCGGCCTTGATTGCGAATGCCTAAACTCTGGACCACTGGACCGGCATTCAACCATGTTAATGTCTAATTCCGATCAATCTAGGGATTTATCGTGACGTTAACCATTTGTCTTTGGTAGTTACTGCCTACAGCCAACAGGGTTGAACTCTACTGGTTACGTCTTCTCACTGGAACTCCAAGAATTTCCTCACGAAACTAGGCATTTGTGAACATATTGTACGATTTTTTCTTCAACTAAAGTTATAGAGATCACTGGTTTTACACACTGAAATCATCAATCAATCACTGTTTTAATGGTGATCTAACAATCATCGATTGATGATTTCAACGTGTAAAAACACTGATCTCCTTAACTGTAATTGAAAAAACTATTTCTGAATTGTCAACATTTAAATCATTCATGGTAATAATTTATTCACACTATTGACTGTGTTGATTAGCTTTTAGATTTGGGAATTTTGTGTCATGCAAGATAGGGTTGTATATAGAATAGTACTTAAAGGTTAATGATTGTTGAAATTAGTGTTTGACCTTTTTATATAAATAATTTGTTTTCGGTGATTTTGATTTTACTTTTACTGACAATGAAACCAAACGATCTCTGCAACTCTATACTGATAGTTATTATGAGCTCACTAATGACTAGTTTCGTATAGGCATTCTCGAAGTTCTAGTGAGAAGCTGTGACCAATAAAGTTCAACTGTGTCGGGTGTGTGAGGCAGTTACCGACGGAAGACAATCGTAGATAGTCTCCAAGTACAGTAGGTTGACCAAAGTTTTTTTATTTACATCATTGGCTAACGGCTCAATGGTTTACATGCTGCGAGTCTTAGGGTCTTGGGTTCCATTCCCACTTACGTTGTCTCAGATGTGCACTGTTACTTAATAGTCCAATGCTAGAACGAAATTGCTTTCCAGTGCTTTCACATTACCAGTGGTGGTCTAACATTGATCAGTCCACAAGTTTTATCTAGTATATCATGCCTATATCATTCATCGTAATTTATGTTAGGAAATAAGTACTAAGTAAGGATGGCAGATAAATAGATGAAGTATTGAAACTTCGTCAGTTTAGGTGGTTGGGAAATGTTTTAGGAATGCCCAACCGCTAACTGCCTCAGCGAGCTGTGTTGTCTGATGTAAGGATAGGCTTGAAGTAAACTAGGGACTGCCAAACCAAAACATGGCAGAAATCCATGAACTCACTGACAAGTGGACTGAGTCCTGTTGGTAGATATTGTCTACCTGGTTTAGGGTCCGCAAGATGATGGTTATCGTTGTTTAGAGACCCTGAATGACATGGTTCAAAACCGTTTGCAATGGCACAGGTGTATCCATTCTTTGAGTTCTCTCAAATCCTAACCTTCAGAGTTCCTCGTTACCTTGTTTTTTTCTTTTTAAGTTTTTTTCACTAGGTTCGACTTCTTCGAACCGTAATCTCTCTGATTACTTCCATTACTACCTCTACTACTATGGGATTTGAAGTGACAGTTGCGTCTCTGTGCTAATGTTGTATGGCAACTTAAACCGATGTACGTTCGTACGACGTTCTATGTTGTTGTTGACTGACTGACTGTTTAGATTGTTCAATTTCAATGAAACCACTGGACCAGTCTAACTTCGATCACACCATTGAAAACTTGAAAGCGCTAAACGATCGTTTTGTCGTCGTAATATGAGACTCCTTGTTTGACAGAGCTCAATCACGACGCTTCACGCAGCAATCGAACCCAAGACCATAATTTCAGTCACAAAAGCTTGTATACTCCTAGGCTGTTGTTCTACCGTTGGATCTGATTGCAGATATTTACTATTCAGGGCTTATAAAAACTGTGCTTAGTGTTAAGTTCTCACTTATATATGCTGTCATTGAGTTTTGATTGGTCAGCGGTACTTAACTGGGTACGATGGACTTCAGTATACCACAATCACTGAGCAGCGGTTGACATCATGTTCGTTCGGTTCTATATTGTTGAACGAATTCAATTGGTCTGGATGAATAGTTGTTCAGTAGTGACATCCTTAGACTATGAAGTTGAATGATGTGCGTTTGAGTTACAAAATGATAAGTATAGCTTGGTAATGAGCAGTAATTATAACACGAAGCCTTATCGAAGGAATGTTTCCTTTTTTCGACTACCTACAACCACCTAAAATGTATATATATCACTATGAGTAAGCTCTTTGTTTAGTTACCGTAAAATTTAGTGTAAGTCCAAACCCCCTTAGCACATGATTCATTCTGGGCCACTGTGTTCTAATGCCGATACCATTTCACTCACAAAGCATGATTCAAAGCAGAGCACACATGAATCAGCACACGGGTATAAATAAATTTCAATTATTTGAGTGTAGAACAAATGACGATTGAATGATCAGTAAAATTTTATTTTTAATTATTTTTTCTTCTTATCAGGTCACTTTTACTAGCATGTGCTGGTTTATCTGAAGAAGGTACACGGAATCTAGTTTCAGAATGTCTTGGCCGTCTAACTCTGGTCGATCCTCCACAACTGGTTAATCGTTTGCGTCAACAAGTAATTTTCATAATTGTTTTACTGTTAAACTTATTTAATTTATTTCATGTTTTTTTTTGTTGACACTATCGTCTGTACTACCACTACTACTTCTACTATTACTTTCGCTGTTTACCCCCCAATGGAGCATAGCCGGTGATCAGCATTCTTCAACCTACTATGTCCTGGGACTGCCTTCCCAGCCCTGTCTAATTGTTGTTTTCTGCTGATAGTGTATGGTCAGTGGATCAGAAGTGTTTTGCACAGACATCTGTTAATGAACTCTTGTATCTTCTGGATGATGGCTTTCGTAGTTCTCCAGGTTTACACCCCAATTTTAGTCTGTAACAAACAGCCTCACATGTATGTACTTTGAAATTTGTATATTGTAACTGGAGTTTATCTTGAATCTTGTAATTTCTTGGTTGAACTTTTGGTAAACTATCTATCTGTTTCTCTTATTGGTTGGTTCATAGCCGATTATGTTGATCTGGTCAACTCTATATTTGTGTACACTGATTTTGGTTGTTGCTTTTGATTTCATTATTATCTTGAATATAAATTGCTTATAAACTAGTGATAGAATACGTGTCCGTGAACTGATGGTTCGGTTATTTTGCCGATACTCGTCGTTTGTAGTATCTTTAGAGGCTCGTATATCCCGGCACCATAAAGTAATCATCGGTAATACGTTTAGAGTATCTACCTGATTAGCGTCCGTGCGATAATCGTAACCAATGATTAGTGACTTTGAGTGACATAGCTGAAAATCGTTTGCAGTGGCTCCGGTGCATCCATTCTTTATGTTCTCTTAAATTATAATCTTATGGATTCCTTATGCCCTTCTCTTTTTAAATCTATTTCATTAGTATTTGTCTTTGATCGCTGATCGTTTCGATTACCACAAATACTGATGCAATCTCTACTACTATGGGATTTGATCTGTCTGTTCATTTCACACTTGTCTACAATCTTTTTATTTTATGTATGTGTTGTTTACTGGTGATTCGGTCTTGTTTTTGAAACGTACCTATCCCCAATATGCTACGTGTTTGGCTATTTATTTCATGTTGTCATTCGATTTCGATTGTTCAACATGATCAGTCTAAGGATTCTACATAATTAATCCGGATTGAGAACACAGTTGAAGTTATACTCTAGCTTGAAACTAAGTACATAAATCTTCACCTTATGTGTTAATGTATCACTGTCCTTTTTTTAATTAAGAAAAATATTCACTGTACTCATCTTTGTAACCATTTTTTTTGTAGTTGAATTCATCTGAAGCTTCATCGTCAGTTTTAATGCGTGCCACATTAGTGACTGCAGTGAAATTCCTTCTAATTGTTACTGATTTCGATACAGGCACAATGACTAAATATTCGACTACTGGTCGTAATCGTTATGATCATCTACCAGATGTAACGTATTTTCTGGTTCCATCTCAGGAAACCAGTACTACTACTGTACCACCATCGTCAACATCATCATCTCGTATGACAAACGATATTGAATCAGCACTACGGGCTGGTAATCCTCCTGCATTGATTGATTTTCTCGGTCGTCTTGCTGATCCTGAGTTATCAGTTCGACGTGCAGCTCTTGTTGCATTGAATACAGTTGCACATCATAGACCTAGTCTTGTACGTCCATTACTGAATATACCTATACAATTGCCTGCTGCTAGTGGTTCATCACAAACATCAACTCTATTAAATTTGCTATGCGCTGAAACAGTGATACGCAAAGAATTAATTCGTGAAGTAGAAATGGGCCCATTCAAACATCATGAAGATGATGGTTTAGATTTGAGAAAGGTGAGTTTAGCCATTTTTAGTTTCAGTTTTCATGAATAACACTACGAAAAGTAAGTGGTCAATAACTGGGCATACACACACCCATTATCTTTTGATTAAATACACTTAACCTCTGGGCCACTGATGGTGTGTACACGTCTAGCTTAAATTGGTTGGCAATATGAATTAGCGACTAACTTTTATTGTTCGATAAATGGTTGGATTCCACTAGTCATGGTTTTTCACTAGAATTCTTGGAATGACATCTCAAAGTTTGTCACTAGTCAAGTTAATCATGCGCATCATATGATTCCAGCGCACAAGATGGTTGTCCTAGGTTAAATTATCTCGTTAGGCGTGGTTTTGGGTGCACATTGCACACTACTCAGTCAGTTAATAGTTTTAAACTGTGAAAATTTAAAAGTCACTAAAAATTTAAAGGCACTAGATGGTCGTCTAGTCATACTATGGAACTCCTTGATAATCAACATCCACGACTGTATGGGATGTTGGATCCCCAAAACTCGCTTGATGAATATCTTTATCGTGGATTCATTTGATGGACCGATCGTTTGACCTTGAGATCATATTTTCCACCAGGAAGATCCTTGGCTGTGATTGGTTACTTTGTCATTTTAGTGTTCTATTTTTGTGACTGTCACAAGGACGTCTATATAAAGTATAAATAAACGCTATTTGAGTGCTTGGATTCATTGTGTGCTTGCTGGGTGTTTGTAGAATACACTTTCTACACTATGTCAAGACTTCTTGCTGGTGCAATTGAGACAATCGGATCAGAGTAGCCTACCTGGTTCATTGTTTTGTTCTTGTTATTCGACTAAGGTGAACTCATAATAGTTGAAGCATACTTAGAGACGAGCGTAACAACAACCCTGCAAACGAGTATTGAACATAGAATTTTCGGTTTCACACCCGAACTCTCTTAACCTTCGAACCACTTAACTGATATCCGATGATGCTATTGTTTAACTTCAATCGATATTGCACAACCATCTTTGATTGTCTTCAGTAGGTAACTGCCTCACGCCCGTCACAGTTGCACACCACTGGTCCTAGGTTTTTACTGAAACCCCGAGAATTCTCGAAACTGGCTTCTTAAAATCCTCATTGGTATATAGACACAGCGAAGTTCAAATTCATGCCTTCTAGCGACCAGGCGACCAAGAGGAGGTAAAACGAATGTCCGGGTTAGTAGATACAGAGGATTCATTCAGGGATGATTGAAAATCAAGATTTCAAATGAATGGTACATATCAACCCCACCATTTTGAAGGAATAAATGGCTTATTAACTTGTCATTGTTCATCGTTTACCATGAGACTGTATCTCTTCTAATCGGGCAAACCTTGTGACTACATTAAAATCGAAGTAGGACTCACCACTTTAGTGACCCATAATGTGATTCCAGTCTGAAATAATGATTGAGCGTGCAATGAAATATATTCCCCCTTCAATTGTTGTATATCATCATTAGACGAAACCAGTTTGTGTGTGACGGTGGTAATAATCAGCCAAATACAGAGTCAATTAAATTTATTTCAGACAGTTAATTGTTCATGCAGACAGACATGAGGATGTAAAGCATACAAACAGAGAGAAACAAAATGAAGAAGGCGAGTGTACCAACTCTATATAAGGATGCATGACTAAGTGTTGATAGTCTGACAAAACATAAGCTAGACATATGAATAACGAAGTAAGCAACGCACACACACATTCGAATCAAACCAACTAAGGATATGGAGTAAATAATAGATGCGGTCAGTAGACTTGTTGAATACTAACTTAAGAGAAAATAGTCCAAAGGCTGAGTGAGACCAACCCCATATGGACTCAACACACGACATGATAACTTTCTATGTGTTGCTTATCATCGCTTTTACACTTTAATTAACATGATTTGGCGATTACCAATTATTTTATATTTTCATATGTATATTTCATTTTTTTTCACAGTATCCTCTCAACTATGATTATCATTGGATTTTTTGTTTTCTCCCTTATTTCCTCAATCCCACTTTTTATGTAGTGTGCATTTGAATGTATGTCAACATTGTTGGAGACATGTCTAGATAAACTTGTCATACCGAATTTATTAGAATCATTAATTGATGGTCTACGTGATCATACGGATATTAAATTATTATCTTATCAAATACTTCAACGTATTTCAGTGATAAGACCAATGGAAATCTCTGCAAGTAAGTTCATCATGCTGATGCTGATGTGTGTAATTTCCTAGATTTTATTTATTTAAGCATATAAATTATTGAATTTGCAAATGGGCTGAGTGATACTGCCTGGGTGCCTAAACCCGGAAGCAAGTGGTGAGGAGCCACTTTGACTTAAATGTATAATCCACAAGGTAATGAGTGGAGCGACTTCATGAGATGTAGTCTCGTAGAAGCCGGTGGCCAATAATACGTTCGTACGTTAGGATGGTGAGGCCGATGTGCACTATTGGTTTTTCAACTGTCTTAGGTGAATGATTCCTCCTTACTTACCGAGCCGGTTCAAGTCCCACCGGATATTCACTTCCAATCTTCTCAATCTCTCTAAACAATAAAATCGTCACTATCTAGCGGTTAGTATAACTTCCCTGACAAATACACTGGGCTCTCTACTTACTGTGTTAATGTATATCTAAGTTCAATCAACCTATCATCGTGCATACGACGGATAACCGTCTCCTAACTAATATGGATCAAAACTCCATTGGTCACGGTTTCTCGCAGTCAGTGGATGCATATTTTAGTTTTTAGTTGAATATGAAAAGAAAAATCCATGTTTTACAGTATCTTTAAATCTTTTCTGTTAGCGTTACGAATGCACGCAAACACGTCAACTTGATGTGCTTGGACTATTACGAGTTTGCCTTGGTCACTGAACGAGAACGAGGATCTGGCGATACAACAGGCTACTCTAATCCGAGCGCCCCTAACCCCCATTGAGTAAAAGAAGAAGTCTTGATATGAAGTAGAACATATATTCTACAAGCATCCAGAAAGTACGAGGTCCGAGTCCAGAAGAGAATCAGGATCCCGGATCATAAAATGTTACAGATAATGCATATTTATACAGTTAGGTTGTAGAGGAAACAACACCGAAGTCTGCGACATTGACAATTAGGATGACCAATAGGAACCAACATTTGAAGCATGTGACATTGATAGTTAGGACGACCAATAGGAATTGACCAACAGAATTAGACATACAAAAATAATTCTTTTAGCATATCGGATGAATATCCTAACAGTTAGTTATTCAAAGAACATCATAAATGGATTAGGAGGTGTATATAGTGAATACCGCATAACGCTGCCCTTGATTTTTTCACCATTGACCATAGATAGACCTCACGTTTAGAACAAAACAAAACACAAAACGGCCCTGTCCTTTCAGTGGTTATCATAATCAACATTGAAACTCGAATTCATATCTTAAATACATTCAAAAGTTACTTTTTGAAATCATGAGTCGATGATCATTATTAGACACCACTATTAGACAGCTGGAAGCATTGAACACGGCTGTTTCGTCCTGCTATGGGACTCATCAGCAGTGCTGCGAATCCACATCCCCATACCATGACGAAACAGCGGTCCAGTGCTTCCAGGTTTCTATTGATCCTGGTCTAGCATTGTTGTCGATTTATTAGTTCAAAAAACGTAGTCCAACAACCCTTTTATGCGCATTCAAAAGTATTTCATTTCGATATGCATTAATAAGTGTTTTTTCCAGCAATCTATGAAATTTTGAAAATATTATTATCAAGCAACATGTCTACACCACAACCTTGAAGTTGTTTTCTAAACATCACTAGTTGTTAGCGGGACATAGAAGGATTAAAGCAGCGTTGGCCACTACTTGGAGAGTATTCCAGAAGCTTCTCTTGTCAAAACTATAAAGATAATAACAATGTTCCCATTTCGCCTTCACTTCGGCTTCTTACTTCTATTTAACCTTGCTATTTGGAATAATAATCTCTATTCCTATTCAAGCGTGTTCTGATTTAGGAGACTTGTCGATTGGATTGTTGTCCGAGAATACTAACTAAGCAATAGGAATAACTGAGGTGTTTACCTAAGAGAGAATTATAACATTAGCATATGAGGTTCGCAATTTTTTTAATCCTTATTATATCATTTTTTTTATTAGAAAATTTTTTTTTCTATTTCCCTTTAATTATGATTAGAAATGGAAATTTTAGCTGTTCCATTAAAAGCGGTTCTATTGTCCAAACCTAAAGATGATTGGGTTAAACAAGAAATGGAGAAAATGCAAGAATTAAATCGAAGCGCTATTGGATTAATAGTCAGTTTAAGAAATATTGATGATATTGGTAAGTTTTAGTGACTTTTTCTTTTGCTTGCTTACTCACTTACTTACTTGAGATGATGGAGAAAATTTACAGTTCAGGTGGATGATTGTAGTTGTGGTGTTTGGTTCTCTAAGTTGGATGTTTTGATTGTGGAGCTTTCGCTGTTCTTCTGCTGAATAACATCATCTGTACAAACTTCAGATAGTTGAAGTGAAGTATTCGAATGATTACTTACTATTTATGCCTGTAACTCATTGCGCGGCAATGAGCCTGTAACCAGGATTTTGTAAACAACTTTGTGTCATACTCTGCTTTTCAGCTATTATCAAGTCCCCGGTGCGGTGTATCCTTTGGTCTGCCCCCTCGATTTCCTATCTTGAGGATTCTAAGTTAGGGCTGGTGTTTTGATACAGCAATAAACCGTCCTATCCACCCCACAGCGCTTCTTCCTAATTTATTTCCTTTCTGAACTCGAAACTAGTTTGTTCTCTACAACAGTAGGTTGTTGCCGATGTTGTCGGACCAATACAGATGAAATATCTTGTGTTAATAAATATCTGTATTTTTTGAATGATGGTTTTAGAAGTTATTCAAGGTGTTAACTCCATACAATAGAAATAATGTCTTAACGTTTTTATTTGAAAATTCTGAGTTTTGGTATTAATTGACAAACAGCTGTTCCATATGTTCCATATATCCTTCCATTCACTATTCCGTGTCTGTATTAGATCGTCTGTGTTTATCAATCATGCTGCCTAGATATTTACACATTTCTACATTTTCCAAAGTTTCTCTATCAAATATAACTTGGTTGTTGTGTTCATTGTATTGTGCCCTAAGCTACTGAATATCTGTTAGCATACTGTTCCTGGTTTTTTTTTGTTTACCAGTCAACATTGTGTATTGTTCTGTAACCGGGTGATATTTTTAAATACATAAATACATGTCTCAACTACTTTCACTTGATACAGACAGATTTACCAAATTATATTCTTTTGACCGATTTCTTGTCTTTGATGTGTGCTCTAATGAGTTTTGTAAAGAATTGTTAAGTTTCATTGAAATCACAAAGTGATCCAGTGTTAGATTATCATTAAAAAGAAAACCTGAAATCATTGGACGGCCGTCTGACACTGCCATAGGACTCCTTAGTGACTGACAATGAGCATCCTTGGCCTCTGCATACGGTAATCGAACTCAGGACCTTTGATCTAGCATGCGAACGCTTTTACCTCTAGACCACTGAGTTCAACCCTGTCAGACATAGGCAGTTATCGGACAAAGACAATGAATGAGGTTGCTCAATACATTGGATTGATTAAAGTCAGTCAGTCAGTCACTCAACAACAACGTAAAACTTCGTGCCACTTCAGCACAGAGATGCAATTGTCAATTCAAATCCCATAGTAGGAAAGGTAGTAGAAGTATTAACAGTAATCGGCTCAGTAGTCTAGCGGTTAAGTGTTCGCGCTCTAAACCGAACGTCCCGGGTTCAAATCTAGCCTCCAGGGGTCATAGATACGATCGCAATATCACTGAGGCGTTTCATACAAGTATGAGATGTCTGCCGAGTGTGCTTCCAGGTTATCTAATATGGTCAGTTCAGTTCAGTTCATGATTTCAATAAATGTAGTCAACAAATTCAATGCTGCCTTCTACAGTCGATATGAATGATTATTCAATATAAATAAAGAGAATTCAATGAAGATTATGTTTCGTTTTTTTATTTCCGATAAAATCATTTACTTAAGCCGAATATTCATATTTACAATTGTTTGATAAATAAATATTAGTTTATGGAAAGACAGGAGGAAGATTGTATTACAAAGTAACCCGAAAATTCAAATATCGAAAGAAAACGGCTTACGACATAATCATATATGGATTAGAGAAGAGTAATAGGGGCATGAAAATAATATTAAAAGGTCAAATATATACGAGATATTCATCATAAAGTTGGGAAGACTCTTGAGTTTCACTGTAATAATGTATTATCGATCATTGTTAGACTACCAACAATAGAAACCTGGAAGCACTCGGAAGACGACTATCTTGTCCCAGTATAGGTCACATTAGAAATCCATGAAGTCACTGACAAGTGGACTGTTTCATGTCGATAGGTATCGACTACCTGGTTGGGGGGTCCGCGAGATAATCGATTGTTAAAGACCCTGAATGACATGGCTAAAAACCGTTTGAAATAGCGCAGGTGCATTCAGTCTTTGAGTTCTCTCAAATCTCAACCTTTTGAGTTCCTCATCACCTTTATTTTTATCTTTTAAGTTTATTTCACTAGATTATACTTATTGAATCAGTTCTTAGAACCTTAATCTCTCCGGTTACTGCTAATAACGTTTACTACCTGTACTACTATGGGATTTGAAGTGACAGTTGCATCTCGGTGCTAATGCGGTATGGCAACATGACCTGATGTACGTACGTACGAAGTTCTACGTTGCTGCTGGTTGATTGATTGGCATCAGTAATGTGCATCCAAGACTCCTGCAACTCTCAGGATTCAAACCTAAGACGTCCGGTCTTGCGCGAGCAGACGCTTAACTTCTGAGTCGATTTTTACCGGTGTTGATGTCTATGACTTCGATCAATCCCCGGTCTGGCGCAACGTCATGTACTGTCTTTGGTGAACACTGCTCAAACAGAGTTGAACTCCACTAGTCACGAATTTTTACTAGAAGTCGGCGGAACTTGCTCACGGAGCTATCAGTTACTATGCGTGAGCATATGATGGGTTGTATGATGTAGTGTTGTGCAGATTGTTGAGTTACTTTGAATAATATGTTCATCATTCAATGATTATTATTATTATTATTGTACTTTTTCTTGTTTTAATTAATTTTTAAACAAAAAATTTAGATAAAAATCGTCATTATGTGGAATTATTACGTATTATCAATTCAGATTGTAATTTGAAAAATGTGTATATGCAAATTTTATCGACGGAAAATTTCTCACCTAATAATATTAACAGTAATAATACGAATAATTGTCTTTTCACAATGTCCGCCACTTCAACTCCGGCGACGACAACAACGCCAACAAGTGGATTTACAATGAGTCATAATAATAATAATAATAACAATACTGTGTCTTCACGTTCTGGTGTCGGCGGCGGTGGATATATTGGATGAGTAGCACACATGGACGACACATGGACACATGTTTTCACATGCAATTCATGATGTATTTTATTATCGGCCTATTTTGTGTGTTGTTCTATTTGAAATTAGTCAAATTTTCTTCTCATTTACACTGTTTGTGTGTGTGCGTGAATGAGTAAGTGAGTGAGTGTGTATACACTCATTCATCCATCCCGTTCATTTGTCCTTGTTTGACCTTTCTTTCTTACTTGTCTAAAATGAAATGTCATGACTATTCATTGTGACCCACTAACAACCAATAGTCGATAGTCGGAGCCTCTTCTGTCTTTTGTGTTGTATTGTATTGTGTACAAGTTAACTCAATTTGATTATGTTGATTGGAGGATAGAGTTTGATGCTCTCTCTCTCTCTCTTTGACTTCTATGTGGTATCCATCTCCCTCTCTCTGCCACTCTAATTACATGTCTTATTTAAGGGAATTAATCCCTCCGGCTAACAATTTACATTTTCCGCCTACTCTAGTTGGTCTGCCTTTTTTTCTTCTCTTCATGAATGCAACCGAAAACAAAAAGCAATTTTCGTTTACTCTCCCTATAAAAAAAAACGCACTTCATTTGCGCAATTCCCCCCCCCTAATGCTTATTTATTTCTTTCTTTTATTAATTACTACTACACTTAACTAATTTAGGATAAAAATGGAATTTCGGCCTTATTTCATTGTTTCATTTTTTTTACACCCACACACACACACACACAATCAATAAACAACAAACCACAATCAGTACAAATATAATGATTGTAAACAATCTAAGCAGCAACAACATCACCAATAATAACAAAGTACTGCAATGCTCACTATTCACCCCGATGTATTCACAGTGATGAATATTATGTGTGTGTTGTCGTTGTTTCTTTTCTGAAAAGGAAAAAAAATAATCATTTTTCAATTGATTCTTTGCGTCTTTTCCTCTCCTTGAGCTGGTGTGTATGTGTGTGTGTGTGTGTGTAGGTACGTTGGCAGAGCTTAGAGTAGTTTGTGCTATTGACGTTTTCTCATATTTTTAATCTTACATAAGTGATCTACACTATCATGGGAATGACTGGTGTGTATAAGATCTTATGCTCAGTTGGATTATTATTACTATTCTGTTAAGTGCTACCTTGTTGATGTAGTGGTCGGCCTCGCTTATCGTGATGACCCAACTGAGCTATATTGGCTGGAACATATGTTCCTGTAGGTTGTACCATGCCAAGCAGGTCGATTGGAGAACGGTAAGACTAAAAGTAGCAACTCAAGTTCTGAGGGTGAAGGCGTGCTGCTGACTGTAGAGGGGTATGATAACAGTAAGATGTTTCCCGTCTGACAGCCAGCATCTGCAGCCATGCTGCCTTCTCACAAGGTAGGAAGTGGTTAGAAAAAGTCGACCCTAAAGTTTTCACACCTCGCCTTATGCTACGGATTCTCATTTCCAGCGGTAAGGCCATTTAAAATTTTGTAGATAACATTTTAGAATTTCACAATATGGCCGTGCGTGACCGGCCTGATGAAGTTGTCTGTTGGGCTCTGCGATCAAGCTCCCAGGGCACTAGAAGCAACGCTAATCCGGTTTCCTTTTCAGACTCCTCAAGTAAATACACTTCCAAGGTGTGAGCATTTTGGAAGTGACATCCGCCCCTATAGCTGTAACTGATTATCAAATGCCTTAAAAATTGCAATTTTTATCATGGTAGTGATAAATGTTTGCTTTCAAGAGCAAACTACAAATGACAATGTTTCTTGTTGGTTGGCAATTGTCAACAAAGTGTCTTCATAATCTTTAGTGACCAACGTCCAGTCTCATTACGGATTAACTGCCTCACTCTCAACATGATCAAGATTTCTCAGCACATCTAAGAGAATTCTCACTTGACATTAAGTAATCACTGAGAGTGGAATTATTTTCAATATCATCAAAGCAATTTATGATACAGTGGTTATATTAACAAAAAATGATTACGTAACTCTAAACATAGTAAGTTGATAGCAAGCTTAGTAATTGTAAGAACACTACACAGTATGAATAACATCAAGAAGTTTTTAAGAAAAAAAACAACAATCTAAAACATGAAAATATTGATGATTGATTCATGTGCGAATAAATATGAAAAGTCAGTCAGTCAATTACAACGTAGCACTTCGGACGTTAGTACATCAGTTCATGTTGCCATACCGCATGAGCACAGAGACGCCACTGTCAGTTCAAATCCCATCGGGGTAGAGATAGTAGAAGAATTACTGGAAATGGAGAATATTAGGGTTCGAAGATATTATTCGAGAAGAATAATTCAGTGAGATAAATATACAAATAAAAAGATAGGGGTGATGACGAATTGTGAAGATTAGAATTTGTGAGAACACAGAGTGGATGCACCTGCGACATTGCAAACGATTTTGTTCCATGTTATTCAAGGTCTCTAACTATCGATTACTATCATCCCGCGGACCCCAACCAGGTAGCCTGCACCTACCAACATGACTCAGTTCACTTGTCAATGACTTCATGGATTTCTGCCATGTTTGGTCTTCCCACCCCTAACTTTCTTCCAACCTACTCAAACACAACAAAACACCGCTCGACGAGGCATTCGTAACACATATCCCTAACACCTCATCTGATGGAGTTTCACTACTTCATCTACTGATTTGCCATGCCTACTTAGAACCCGTTTCCTAACAGCAGCATTCCTTAGTCTGCTGTCCCAGGATATGCGAGCAATCGAATAATAATAACATACGAACGTCCTCTACTCTTAACGGCCATGTTTCACAGCCATAAAGTAGGACAGACCGAACTGCTGTGCAGTACACTCGTCCTTTGGTTAGCGAACGGATATCTCGCCTTTGCCATAAATGACGGTGGCAAAAGCCAATTGAACCTTCTGTATCCGCGCTATGATTTCGTCAGTCATCAGTCTGTCAGCACTGATGAAACTCCCAAGATAAGCGAAGCGGTCCATACACTCAATTGCTTCACTCCTTATCACTAGTTCAATTGCCGATACAAGCTAATCCTGAACCAATATTTTGCATTTGAGGGAGAAACCCGCATCCCGAACATGCTTGCATTGTTGCCTAGGATAGTCAGAAGACTACATTTTGTCAGCGTCTTCCCTGAATATGACCATGTCATGAGCATACTCTAAGTCAGCAAGCGTGTCTTCTGGGAGAAGGTCCACTCCTAAAAAGGTAAACGAAGGTAATTTTAACTCTAAAAGCATGTCTACCACAAAGTTAAAGGAGAGAGAGTGGGCAGCCCTGACGAACACCACTTGAAGAGGATTCCGATAACAGTTCATTATAAGCTCTCGCTCGACCAGTGGTGTTCGAGTAGAGAGCTTGTATAAGGTTGATGTACTATTTTGGTACACCTTTCAATGACAGACACTGCCACAGAACCTCACGTTCCATTGAGTCGAATGCCGCCTTAAGGTCCAGGAAAACAACTATTGTAGGACGCCTAAATGTGTGTCTGTGTTCCAGGACTTTATATATATACATATGAGTCAAATACGGACTCAGTTGGATGAATTTATTTCATGCAAGGCGAGTAAGCCAACTCAGTGCCATGAAGCATGACTAATTATTTACAGTCGGACAAAAGTAAGCTAGACATATGGATAAGCGAAGTAACTATCGCACACACATTCGAATTAAACCAACCAAGGATAAGAAGGAGTTCCAAAGGGGTGTGGATATTGACTAGTTCAGAAAAGGTAAGCTAGCTCGGCCGATAACCAGGACAAGCCATGTGGGCCTAACATTTTGGTGCACACATAACAGGTGGTCTAATATTGATCAGTTTATGATTTCAGTTATACATACCAATATCTATAACCCTATACCAGTAATTATCATGTGCTCACTAGTGACTAGCTTTGAGAGGAAATTCTCGAAGTTCTAGCGAGAGGGCCTGACCAGTGGTGTTCAACTGTGTTGGGTTTGAGGCAGTTACCTACGGAAGACAATGGATGAGGTCGCACAGTATCGTGGATTGATTGAAGTTTGACATTAACATCGTTAGATATCAGTTAAGTGGTTTGTAGGTTAATTGTTCGTGTGTAATATCGAAATTGTGTCTCCACTATCCCCAAGTCTTATGTTCAATTTTTGCTTGCGGGTGTCGTCGATATGCACTGCCACTGATGTGTACCATACTAGGACAAAATGGCCTTCCAGGTTCCTAATGGTGGTCTAACATTTATTGATTCATCACTTCAGTATATAAATATCAAGTTTATCAAATGCGTTCCAGAAAAGAGAGAATCTTTATATTCTAATTGATAATTATAACTGACAACATAGATTATTCATTCTTATCATCGTATTTGGAAAAAAAGCAATGTTTTATTTAGCGGGCAAAGAAGTCGAATTTTCTGTGTGTGTGTGTGTGCGTTTGTGTGTTAGTTACAATTTTGTACTCGGATTTGTAAACAATAGTTTGTTTGCTGCCACAATCCAAACTACCAATATCTTTAGAAGTATATCTGGTTACATTAAACTATGATCAATATTTAGAAATGTATATGTTTAACTTCTAAGAGATCATGGCGAACTGTCATTGGAATCGTTTACTATCTCACATGTTTAGCATGTGATTCCAGCTCTCCCGCAATGAAAAAGGTTGCTTTAGGATTGAATAGAGTTGGTGCCGGAATTCATGATGAGAAGTGAGGTAGCTGAGCATGCTGGCCACTTGTTGAACGTCTCATCAGTGCCTGGTGGCTGACGAAATCTAGACACGAATGCGGAAATCATGATTAGCTTTGCCAACTTTCATCATTTATGGCGTAGGCGAGATATCCGTCTACTAACCGAAGGACGAGTCTCCTGCGCAGCAGTTTGCTCTGTCCTACTTTATGGCTATGAAACTTGTCTAGTCAGAGTAGATGATATTCGTAGATTACTAGTACTCGATCATCGGTGTCTTCGAAGCATTGCTCCTTTATCTTGGGACCATTGAGTAAACAATTCCTGGGTCACGTACAGGTTACTAAGTAAAGATGGCAATTTGATTGATGAAGTAGCGGTTATTTAGCAGTCGAGGTTGACTATCTAGACAAGTAATGTTTTATGATATAGAAGGCTGGAAGAAAGCTAGGCGTTGCCCAACCCAAACATGACATTTGTGTGGTGGATTCTACCCACAAGGTGGTATATAGGTAGTATGCTGCAGAATGTCGTCTAGAAGTTGTTTTCAAAGATTGGACTGTGTGAAAATCGGAATGCATGACGCTATCAGACTATATTATAGACCAGATCGCTTCTCGGCACTCTGAGAAAAGATCATGTGTAGATGTTAGTGAAGATTATCAATAACCTGCTTGTATTGTACAATCAAATGTGTAAAGATTATATGTACATTTTTGAAAAATGAAATTTCATTTGATCTTGACTTCGTACTTGATACTGTTCCATGAGTTCGTTGACTATTGAATTTCCTGCATGAAAGAGGGGGAGAGCAGCGGGTCCTGATAGACTGACCACTGAGATATTTAAGGATGGTGGTCCAGTTTTAGCAGCTAGGTTGACTGAGATCTTAGGTAGAATCTGCGAATTGGATGTAATCCCATCCGACTGGTCTCAATCACTGATTGTCCCAATCTATAAGAAAGGACAAAAGCATTGTGACAATCATAGTGGAATAAGTCTAACTAATATAGTTTCTAAATGGTTAGCCTGGATTATACTTAGATGCTGTATAGACCACATCTTCACACTACGACAGGTCCTGGAACACAGACACACATTTAGACGTCCTACAATAGTTGTGTTCATGGACCTAAAGGCGACATTCGACTCAGTGGATCGTGAGGTTCTGTGGCAGTGTCTGTCATTGAAAGATGTACCAAAGAAGTACATTAACCTCATACAAGCTCTCTACTCCTCTAAAACTAGTGGTCGGGTGAGAGC